AATTAACATTGATTATTGGAAGAAAGAGGATTATTAATATTCAAAGTGATCAAGGAGTTGCTAAGTTGCGTAATGTTAGAAACAAAGAAGGAACAGAATTTTAACGGATGGTCAATAGGATGGTAGTTACGTAAGAATCAAGAGATGAATGTTGAGAAGTTATTAAGTTCAGAAGCAACAGAAATATAAAAAAATGGAAGAAGTATGAAAAATAGTTTTTTTGAAGGAAATCTTAAACTGATGGCCAGGACAGGGAAAGTGGTTGTACGAATCTCTTTTGAATGCAAAGGTCAGGTTTGTGAACATGGATTGCGATGGCTTCCGCAATGTGCAAGAGGCGCACTCGTAAACCATGTGGCAAATTAGATGGGATATTGTAGATAACCTTAAAAGCTTTATTCAATTCGACTTGATGACGTGTGTCAACCAAGTGAGAGAGAATAGAACTTTTAATCACTTTTACCTGTCCTTTGTTTAATCACGACGGATGATGTTCAGTAATGCGATGACGGACTTGCCGAATTGTACGCCCAATATAACTGGCTCCACAGGAGCAGTTGAAACGATAGATACACATAGATTTGGCGAATTCAGGCAGATAAGAACAGCCAACAAAGACAGACTGGCCAGTCGAGCTTCATACGGAAGATTCGCTATTCCGGGAATCAGCTTAGTTTCTGTACTCTGAACCTTTACCAAAAGCTCACTGTCTTTTTTAAGCAGGGGCTAGCCGCTTGTATGCAGTACTCTAGTTAAGGACGTACGAACACTGTACACAAAGTCAAAAACGTTTTAGCGTCGACATGCTAGAAAGCTCTATGTATTGACCACAAGGTTCTAAAACCTTTGGCGGCTATTGCACGGCAGTCTGCAGTAGTCTTTAAGTCATAGCAAACGATGACTCCTAAGTCGTTATGTGTCTGGATAACAGGTAACTCAGTGTTATTCATCGTGTATGTATCTGTACCTTGATGACCGATATGCATCACAAGACACTTGGAAGTATTTATCGACAACTGCCAGGTTTGAGACCATTCAGATGATTTCTCCAGGTCATTTAGGAGTTCTAAGCTATCACTCTTACATCATATCGTTCTCCATATCTTGACATCGTCAGCATATAGCAAGACCGATGATGATAGGAGACGAGGAAGGTCATATACGTACAAGAAAAATAGCATTGGCCCCAAAACTGTACCCTGGGGCACTTCACTAAGCACAGTTTCCCAGCTAGATAACATTGAGTTCACCCGTACTCTTTGTTGGGCCCAACTAGGAAGTCTTTCATCCACATCAATCGGTTGCCTCAGATTCCGACAGTTCTTAGCTTATATAACAGCCGGTTGTGCGGAACTTTGTCAAAAGCTTTGCTGAAATCAACGGGTAAATTTTTGGTCCTCAAAAGCCCACCAGCTTTCACGGGCGACTAATAAGTTAGTGAGACAAGAATAACCTATTCTGAAACCGTGATGCTTCCCCGAAAGGAACCGGTTTTCATCGAGGTACTTAAACAGCTCCTTCCGAATAATTTTTCTAATATTTTAACAGTCACACTAGTTAGACTAACGGGTCGGTAATTCTCAGGTTTATGTTTCGTACCTGTTTTGAAGACAGGACTTACTATGGCGTTCTTACAGTCTTTTGGTAAACGACCCTGCGTTACGGATAGATTAAAGCATATATTCAAAGTGTTCGCAGCAAAGTTAGATAATTCCTTCAGTAGCCTAGGATGCAATTCATCGGGCCCCGTGGATTTACCTATGTCAAGCTTATTCATCAGACCGAAGACATCAAGTTATTTAATGGTCACGCTATCCAGTGTATGTGTGGGGGGATTTGTGTGCGCTGACGAAAAGTGTGCTTCCATGATATATACACTGCTAAAGTAGTTTGAGAACATTTGAGCCTTACCAAAGTCGCCTCCACCAATAATGCGGCAGAACTGTCTCCTCATAGTGCAGGAATATTTCCTCTTCATTTTGTCCTTTGGTTTATATAATAATACAAGGGTTTAAGACATTCTATGGATTCCTTAAAATTTTTTACTTCGTACAGCATTCTAGATTACGGAGGGTCAAGGCACAGGTATTCCAAGCTTTTTGATACTGAGATTTTGTCTCATCAGTCCCCAGTAACCTAAATCTATCCCACATTCTTCTTCTCTTACGGAGAAGGATGCGGACCTCCCTACTGAACCATGGTGGGGAGTTTCTCGTCCCCCTTGGTATAGTCCAAGGGATGTGGGGTGTGGTAACTTTTAAGTATAAATTTCAAAATGCGTCCCAAGCCGTTTCAACTGAGGACTCTGGGTGCATGCTGTCTGGTATGTTTGCTTTCCAGACGTTAGGTCTGGATTGAGCTGATGCATGCTCTTTTTTGACAACTATATGAAAGTCGAAGGTTAGAACTGCATGATCGCTTTTACCTAGGTGTGGCATGTAATCTAGGTTCGTGACGTGACCCTTATAATGGGCCAATATAAGATCTAGTAAGGATGATTCAGAGTCCGGGTCGTACCTAGTCGCTTCTTTCACATGTTGCACTAGGGCACATATGATAACCGCATCAACTAGTTCTTGCTCGAAGGGATTATCTGACGATTCACTTCGCAAATTTTCCCAGTCCACCATGGGTGCATTAAAGTCCCCTAGGATTAAACATCGACCACTTTGTGACCAAGTATTGAGACTGCTTAGCAGGACCCCATTTACCCCACATCTTGGACTGAGATAGACCAAACCAATCAGCAGCTCTTTTCCCTTTCATTTCAAGCGGTAACTAACTGATTCACACGTCCCACTCTCATGGGATACACTGTCGATAATGGCAAATTGGATAGAATTCCTAATGAATAGAGCTACTCCCTATCCTTTACGTTTTTGTATTCCGTCGGCTCTTACTAACCCTCGAAATCAAGTTCCACACTATCTATAGACTGTGTCAGACAGGCTTCTGTGACTGTGATTATGTCTGGCTTTGTAGATTCAGTCTGTACACCTAGTTCCGATCGCTTATTGAGTAAGCTTCGGGCATTAGTGTAACAGATCCAAAGCCTATTTAAGTGGCTTCGTGCTTCACCCAGAGTGGCTTCGGCATCGTTCTCTGTCGAAGCCTCACAACCCGAAAATTTACAATTTTATGTCCTTTTTTGCCAGCGTCTAACCTAAGTTGTAGTTCTTTTTCGACTTCCCGTCTTTCTACACGGTCTGCCAACGGCAAGTTCTTACGGATAAAAACTCCTAAACCCTTTAACTTATGTCCATTCTGTAAAATTAAGTCGCGTTCATTCGAAGATTTGAATACTACTTTAAGCAGTCTGGATTGATTAGGCTTCAAGTTCTCTAGACTCCCTAGACTGTACACCTTTAGCAAGGTGACCCCGGTGACATTTTGAGGCATGAGTTGAATAAGTAGCCGTTTTATCAGCACAATGTCACGCTCAAAACGAGTTTTCGGTTCAGAGCTTTCACTCTCCTTGATTCTATGAAAAATAACCGATTTGTCACTGTGATCACCGTTCGATTTCTCGACTACTTTTACAGGGGCAGGATTCCCTTTTATATTGTTATGTTGTTTCTTCCTTACAACCTGTACCCATTCGTCAACGTTGCTTGGAGAAGCAACCAAAACACTTTTTTGCAGCGTTTACCAATGAGATGGCCTCGGTCAACAAGCTTTTTGCATCTGAACAGTACTGTTGACAGAGCCATACGCAACCGTTTTTACTGAACCGTTTGAAAGCCACAGGTGTTAAATTCGTGCAAACTTCGTGGTATCAGCCTTTGCACTCATCGCACTGCATGCCGCTTTCAACGGGATAACGACAGCCCGAACGGGGGCAATTGCTTTTTTTGCACTGTCCAGTCATTAAACAGAGGATTTTATTTAAAAAAGAACTAGATGTAATAATACTCAGAGACAAAAATGATTTATAACCAAAAAAGGGGAAAACTGTAGATTGTTAGAACCAAAAGTACTAACAGATACAATAGAAAACAAAGTACTCAAGAGCACCGACGACAAACTACTTTAGAAATAGAAACGATACTCTAGTCGAATACTTTAACTGAAATGAATTCAATTAAAGTGAAAACAGTAGTCTTGATACGTAATAAACGATCAAAACAATCGAATTAACTGAGCGAGGAAAAATACCACTGTCATTTAAATTAGCGCGCGTGATTTCAATGAATATACATTAGTTTTTTTTTCTGGATATTTTCCTGTGCACAAACGATCATTACTGCCTTATAAATGTCCATATGGACTTGGCAGGTCTATGTCTTTATTTTCTGCATTATTTTTTTCCTATCCGCAGCAATCATTATTTGGTAGTAACGTAATTTTTTCGTAACTTTTTTCGTTGTTACTGTTTGTAGTTTACGCAATGTTAATAGGTTCCGAAATTCTTTAATTAAACATCTAACCTGGTACCTATCCTAAATTTGATCAATAGAATGTAAAGTGAGAAAGACATAATGTTTCATAACCATCTATAAACAGTCTGTTCTGACTGCTTATAAGCTGCATTCTTACAATTAAATCACAACTTTTTCAATTTCACATTCAGAGGGTGGGTGAGAGAGAGAGAGAGGAAACAAAAACTCTTGAATATTTTACAAAAAATTTATTTTTATAGGTAATTTCACTTCCATTCGAATTTATTTTCTGTTATGATTAATCTTTTTTTATTTCAATGAAGAAAGTCATTTTTCTAGTTTGTTATTTTTTCTTCTTATGTATGTATTTATGTAACGAACTTATTTAATTGATTCTTTATAGCAACATTTAATTTGACTATTTTCGGTAGTTGGAATAATATGTTCGATCAATAGGGAAAAAATGGTGATATTTCTTACTACTTAAAGAAAAAAAAAGAGAATTTTGTGAAACTTTAACATTACAATGACCAACACAACTAGATTTTCATTTATTATATATATATATATATATATATATATATATATATATATATATATAACTTTCTGTGAAAATATATAAATTTATTGGATATTTTAAGGATTAAATATGATTTCCAATAAAATTATTTCGTGATTAAATGGTAAAACTTCTAAACTTCTTCTTTCTAAAGAACTTGGATTTTTACATTTTCCATACTCATTTGTCTACACTATTACTATGATTCTTCCAGTATGGTGACTGTAATGTTTACCAATATATTAACTAAAGCTTGTTTCCTTTCCGAAATTCTTTCTACTTCTGTAATTTTAGCATATTATTCTAATTTGTAGGGGTTTGGGTTATCCTGTTGTTAATATTCTTGGTTGAATTTTGGTCATAGTCGGAAAACCTTCATTCTTTGTGGATCTCCTCAATACACTCATTTTATCCCAAGTTCAATAGAAGAGATTTACTATGACTGGCAGTTGAATCTAGCATTGCTAACCAAACCCACCTCTTCAATTTTATGTGTTAAAAGTAATTAGAACATATGTTATTGACGATAAGTTATTTCTATTTAGCATCAGAGAAATTTTCTTCATTAATCCAAGTTTTTCTATTACTAGTTGAATAATTGGTAAACTTAATTATATCATGCGGAATTATATGAAAGTTAGACATATTATGAAAATTTAATTGTATTTCACTATCAGGTTTCACAATAATGTTGGTCTATTACATTAATATTATTAATAATGTTAGAAATATCATTCTATAGAATTTTACAATGGAAATGAATAGTTAATTTAAAATCTACAAATAAAAAACATTCAATAAATCATTTTTTTTTGTAAAAAAAAATTAGTAAGATGAAGTGAAACATTGACGTAAAATTATGAACAAGGAGTGTATATCGTGTCATTGTGTGAAAGACAAAATGAAAGTTTTTTATTTCACTTACTATCAAAAAAGGTGTTCATACTGATTAGTTTTTTTTGACAGAATGTTTATTTAGAGAATTAACAAGTGCTTTAGAATAACTATGTGCTTTAATGTGTTGATGAGTGCATAGTGAAGGGAATGTATGAATCCAAAATACAAATGACAAGTTGAATAATAAATCTACATCAAATGCTTTATTGAGTAATTACATTTCCGTGATACATAAAATGGGATACTTTCAAGAAATGAAAAATGAATAAAGTTGAATTTCATGATTATACATTATGCACATTGACAATCATGAATATTATTCTGATCTGTTATTAAAACTGTGCCTGAAATGAAATGATTAGAAATTCGGAAAATTAACCTTATTTACTAACGAATAAAATAACAGTATTTTCGTGTTAATTTACTAATATTGTTGAGTGAAATTATTTATCTTCCCCGAGCATAATAATTTATAAAATATTTTCTATGAGCTTGGTTCAAATAAAACATTTAACGTATTTACCGAGAACTTTATAGCCGAATAATTAAGAGATTTAGACGATTGCCTTTTAGGATGCATGCAATCATAATGGCTTGTATACTCAGTGGTTATAGATTTGATGTCAAACCATTGTATACATTTTAATGCAACAGAAGTAAAAGGAAGAAAGCCCAAGATGCATTAAAAGCTGTTGAATCATGTAACTGATTAATTAATTTTTTTGAGCAGCCAAAAATTTTGAAAACACTATTCATTTTCATAGAGTAAATGGAGTCTAAAATAAAATTTTTAAATAGTATGTATCACTGACACATTGTGATGAAGCAAGGAAACGATTAATAAAGTTCTTGAACAGAAATTCGCAGATTAGCTCTTCAAATGTCGCTTGCATAGTTATCATATTATCCTCTTCTACAACATTTCATAAGGACTTAATTTGCTTAATTTTCCTACTGCTCATTACTTAAGAAGATTTTTCAAGTATTTTGGGAATTTTAGACTGCCTGATAATATCAAAAATGTTCCCTAAACGTGGTTTTCAAGTACACATATACAAATGTTAAATTATATATTTGTAACTAGTAGAAAGTAGCTGAATTATTCTAATATAATTACTTAAAATGTAGTCTAGACACAAATCTTTATTTTAATATTTCTTTCCAATATGGTCTCATTATAGGGCCTTTTTGAGATGCACAGGTCATCATCGACTTCTAATTACAGTAGATCCTGAAAGTGTTTATAGTACACGTGTTAATTTACAGGCATAATCAGGTTGACACAAAAGTGCAGTCAAAATTTTAAAAATAAAGTTATAATATTATTGAAACGGATGTGATTCATAAGTTATTTCAAGAGAACATTATTATGAGCTTTTTAATGTGAACCATAAGATGCATACAAAACGCATAATTATAAACGACACAAGTGTGCAGAAACAAGTCAAAGGACTTTTAACTGACAGTGCACATTTTTCTGTAACCACGTGATATTATTTCTTATTTAAGAATAGAGGCGTTAAAAATTGATATGTATGGTTAAATAAATATTGCATGATAGGAATTAACTTACCTAATACATAACTCTGATATACCGATTATATTTGTACTCCCTAAGACAGTCTATCTTAATGTGATGTGTTTACTGGTAGTGTTGCCTTATCGTCTATTAATTGCGACGACTGAAGTAAATCAACACTGAATGGTAACTGATGTGTTGTTACAATATTTGGTGTAACTTCATTAAATGTTGTATGCTGTAGTTGTGGTGTTACTATTAAACAATTTAACATTTCATTTTTACTATAATTAATATCAGTTGGTTTTCTAATAGAAGAACAATTTCTCATAGTGTTTGAATGGTTATTACAAAATAAAAGTTTACTTGAATTTAAACACGATGCAGAATCTGTTTTTGTATTATCTTCTATGGAATACAAACAATCACAAAAACTAATACAGGATTCGTTGACACCGTTTTGTTGATGATTTAGCTGTTGTTGTTGTTGTTGTCGTGGAAGTGATTGTTGTTGATGACATGAATAATGTTGATCTAATTTTGGTAAAGAAGATGGGAAGTTTTTAGTAGAATAGAATGATAAATGTTGCTCAAAATAATAATATTTTGCTTGACGCATTAACATTACCTCAATAACCATCGAAAACCACAAAGTAGTGAACAGCTGTGTCAACTTAGTATGGGGTATCTCATCACTTTAGATTTAAGCCCTTCCCGAATTCAGACGAAAAACGACTAGAATTTGCAGTGAATTCCTTAATTTTAGACCAGTGGGTGGACGTCCACTTTTTCATATTCATTAGTCGATTGGATTGATGACAATGAGGAACTGCGAGTCACCTCACTCTAGGTAAAATCAGACTTATTTGGTCACAGCTCACTGGATTTTTAGAAACCATACGGATTCAGTCACGGATGTTTACCTAGATGACATCAGCTGGTGATATAAACTTCAAAGTTACAAATGTTTAAAATTGTAAATAAATTTAGGAAGAATTTAGTACAGTATTCGAAACTTGTCTTTAGGTATTTACATGAGTAGTTCAAGAGTAAAGTCTTACCGGTGACTTCCCGAAACCACCCTATATCACAAACCTCCTTTATTGGAATCGGTTATTTATAGCAGTATGGGATAAGAACTATAAAGACTGTCAGATAAAAGAAAATCTTATAAGTTCTTGTTAGAAATCCTTAAACATGATAGTTAACACACAAATGAATAGCTTCAAAGTAAATCTATGTATCAAAGTATACAACATAAGTGAATAAACCTGAAACAAAACGAATGAAAATATTGAATGAAGAGTAGATAAGATCAGAACACATCATATACTTATTTTTTTAACAGAAAAAAAAACAAACAAAAGAAGAGAATAAATGAACCATAAAGTGTTGTTTTTTATCATGCATCATATTTGTTATATGTAACTCCTAAAACTTTAATTTTTTACGAGAAATATAGACATTTGAAAGGTACACATATAGGGGTCAAACAGGGTGAATTTATGAACATCTTTACCCTCAAGATATTTTGCTACCATTGTAACAAAAGTATTGTTTATCAATATGTGCATGCATGTTTGTGCGAAGATGAATTTTTTGAAACTAGGTTTTACTTATACATAATAAAATACACTTTTTAGGTGTACTCCACAAACTAAGCCACATAGAAGCTACATTTGTCCTCAATTTTTACACTAGGGAAATTTTTAATGAAATGGTTTGTTACCATTGTTGTTTCTGATAACGCCAGTCGATTGTGTTTGAGAATAAACAAAATATGAATACAGTTAAACTCAGTACCGAAATTTTCTCAATTAAAAAATCTGTTGTATAAGTGACGAAAAATGTCTAGTTTTGAAATGTTAAGTGAAAAATTATTTCAATTTTCATTAAAAGGAATATGTCTAGAAAACTCTCAGTTGTGGAATTTTAATGTTTTACCAACGGTATATAATTTAATAAGTCATTTGACAAAGAACGAAATAAAGAGAATTCAACGAAGAAACTTTTCTTTCCAACGAAATAACTTAAGTTGGACATTCTTATTTATAGTATTATAGTAACTATATGTCTGTAGAAGGATAAAAAAGATTGCATCATAAAAAGTGATTCGAGACTCAAAATATCAAATAATCTTGCTTAATAATCAGGGGGTTAGAGGAGAATATAAGGATGAAAATTATTTACGGGCTAGGATTATGAAAGACAATTGTCCGCTTGACAGATGTGAAAAAAATGAAAAATCCACTTGATATTTGGAGTTTTTAAAAACTGTAATGCAATATTGTCCTATCTTCTATCGACATATATCTAACATACAATTATAAACAGAAATGTACAGCTTAAGTAAATGATTTCATCGAAACGAAAATTTTCTTCGCTGAGTTCTCTTTATATATACTCAAGATACAATAAGTTATTTTAATTACCTGTGAGACAGAGTGGAAAGAAGGACATCTCATCTAAAAACCAAAGAAATGAGATCTCAATAAATGTGAGAACTACCAAAGCATCACGCTACTGTCGGTATCAGGAAACGTTTTCAACAGAGTGTTCCTGAACTGAATGAAAGATTCAGTAGATGTTCAACTTTGAGATCAACAGTCCGGATTCCGTAGGGATAGATAAAGCACAGGCAAAATCATGACACTACGGATCACCGTTGAACAATCAAATGAATAAAACTAGTCACTAGACATCAACTTCCTTGACTATGAGAAAGCATTTGACAGTGTGAACAAAAGAACCTTATGGAACATGTTTCAACACTATGGTGCATCTGAGAAAATCGTCGATACCATACGAAATTCATACGAAGGACTACATTGCAAAGTCATGTATGGGGGACAGATGACAGACGCATTCCAAGTAAAGATTGGAGTCAGATAAGATTGCTTACTCTCTACGTTCCTCTTTTATCTGTTGGCTGACTGTATTACAAAAACCACCATGCCTTAGAAGAAGAACGGATTACAGTGGACAGCTTACATGCAACTAGACGGTTTGGACTGAGCAAATGACCCAGCCACTCTATCCCATATACACCGACGAATACAGTTGAAAACAACTAGTGTAGCAGAAACCTCTGCATCAGTATGCCTCAAAATACACAACGGAGAAAACAATATCCTCAAATACAACACCGGGAACACCGATCCAGTCGCATTTGATAGAGAAACCCTGGAAGAGGTAGAAACTTCCACGTACCTGGACAGTATCATCGATGAAGAGAAGCGTAGGCTAGGATCAGGCCTCATTCCTACAGCTGAAAGATATATGGAACTCAAAACAACTGTCAGGCAACATCGAATTCAGAATCTTCAATGCGAACGTAAGGACAGTGAGTTCTACTGTACGAGCTGAAACTTAGAGATCTACTACAACCATCATCAAAAACGTACAGTTATTTCTAAACATTTGTCTACTCAAGACACTCAATGTCCGCTGACCGGATACCATCAACAACAGCCTACTGTGTCAGAGAACTAATCAACCTCCAGCTGAAGAGGAAATTAGGGAAGTACTCTGAAGATGAATCGGACATATAATATGGTAATCGTCAAAGTGCATCATGAGGCATACTCTAACTTGAAATCCTAAAGAGAAAGGGAAAAGAGAAAGATCAAAGAACACGTGCCATCAGGAGTTGGAGGCGAACATCAAAAGACTGAATAGCAACTGGAAACAACTAGAAAGGAGGGTCTAGGACAGAGTTTGATGGAGAATCCTGGTGGGTGGCCTATGCTACTCCACGAGGGGTAACAGGCGCAAGAAAATAAGTAAGACTCGGAGCAAAATCCCCATACATTTAACTACATGCTGTTTTACTATAAAGCGATGTTTATCCATTTCTTTTATGTTTACAGAACTACTCACAGTACAAACTTTCTCAACTAACATCAGTAGAGATAACGAGGAGATAAAGAAAAACTGAACTGCTAAGAACTGCATCAATAATGAGAATGTAAAAGCCAATGAAATGTTTTTGTCACTTTTCCGCTCTATTCAAAGTATTGATAAATCAGTAAGAAAAGCGACGATGTTTCAACTATCACAGATGTAAACACACAGTGCCTTCATACATAGGCGTGTAAAAAAATTTACACCTTACATTTCCATATTATAAAATACATATCATACTGCATGATGCGCAACCAGTACATTTATTTTGCCATGATTGCTCACTGCTTACAAAATCTAGATAAAATTAAGCCAATGTACTAGATAAGCTAATGGGTATGTAATATTCAGTAAAAAGATTTTCAAAATGATAATTTCGAACAGTAGTTTTAAAGTAATTTTTCCTACCTCCCGTTTTTAAAATGAGCATTTTGAGCAAATATCTTAAATTCCACTTCACATTTAATAATCTGTGCTGCTAACTGATTCTTTTTTTTCTTAGAAGATTTCTTCATCTATTTGGAAATAAACTACTTCTGAAAATTAAAATAAAGGTCACTTCTGTATTTTCAAGAATACAGTTGAGATTGAACTTTATTTTCACTAAACGAACAAACCTTGATTACTGTTTCCAGATGTAACACCGGTCAGAAGTGGAATGCCTGTCAAAAAGAAGGTTGAAAAGATTGAACTGAAGAAAACGGAAAGGGAAACATAAAAGAATTGAGAATCGGAAGAGTCATAAAGGATGTAGAGGACAACTGATGGAAGATGTGCGAATAAAGTATTTAATGTATGGTTTTCATAATTTACGAAGGCATTCTGTAATTTTGCACTCAACAACAAATTGGTCATCTTCACCAATTTTTCGTTTACTACATACTAAAAAAATGGATATTATCGTAACAGTAATCAGAACGTCAAGTGATTAGTACATACTTGTGTTCGCATGTGATTGTTCACCTTCACACTCAGTGGTAGAATGCTCAGATACATCCATGCAGTTAAAACCATCCACATCAATTTGAAGAACTTTATTGTCCCATTTCGGTAATGTCACTGAAGATCCCGGTAAAGTAGGTAAATTGTGTGTTATATATTGTGTTGATTCATTTGGACACATATTGAAATTATGTCGACAATTCTCTCCAAAACCTTTTGCACATGGCTTATTCTGTAAACAACAATTACACTAAAATCTTTTAACTGTAAATATTTAATGGACTTTATGTATTAGATGAAGAAAATAAAGTGTAATTTAATTAGAAATGTAAACAATTAAGCTTGTTCAACATGAAACGAAAGTGTTTCTTCATCTTATTTTTAATGATTTCTTCAAAAAGAAGTGATATAACTTAGGAGTTTTCTTATTAAAGGTTTGATAGTTTTAGTTCAGTACCGTAAATATGTTTAGGTATATATGTTTTGAATTTGTTAATATCAATAACTACTTAGCTAAGCAACAGAGTATTTGAAACTCATGTAATTTTTATACCCATGAGATTTGCTGAGATTGAGGAAGGAATTATAGTATCACGGTTACATTTATGGATTCATAAATGTATCCGAAGGTAACTTATCAAAACATACTTATATGATAGTTTATTAACGTAACATACATATAAGAATATTACTCTCTATTAAAGACGCAAATGCTACTGAAGATAAAACTGTTAAATTTGGTTAACTGTTTAGCTGAATTAGTTGACTTGCTGTCATGCCACACATCATTCATCGTGAATTATGTTCTGTATTTTAGTAGGAAGCAGTGAATAGTCACTCATAAAACGAAACTCAAACAGAATTGATAGGGATTTGAACGTAAAGTGTTAATGGCGTATAAAATAAGACCGTATCATTTTTTACTACTACTCCTTTAAAGCAGTCTTAATTTACTTGACATCGGATTTCAAAACTTAAACTTGTATCAAATAAAAATTATGGTACCAATGAAATCTGCTCATTATTGGATTTACAGATTGTAATGAAATGTTTCACTTTCATTGAAGTGAAGAGCTAGTAAGAACTGAATTTATTATCAATTTTTTACGTGAACCTGTTACTAGTAAATAAAATACAGTTTCTCATATCTCTAGGAGATTTTTTATTATTCATATATCTTCATGTCAGCTACAAGCTCAAATACCGATAAGTAGAGGTGTTATGGTTTTAGTAAAATGATGAAATACTTTCCTGAAATCAGTTATTTTTACTCACCTATCATGCAACCGATATTCTTATCATAAACATCCCTTAATCCATTACACTGTGGTGTGACCTACTTATATTGATATAAGTAGTATATAACGTGCGTTAAATAAACGTAAGGTCCGGCAGCAGAAGATGGCGAAGATCAAGAAAGGAAGAGCAAGAGCACAATGGAATTGTAAGAAAACACATGTACAATGGAATGGGAGACAATGGATTAGTGTTTGCAACGGGAACAGTACAGTTTGATATGATGGAATGATATTTTGCAAATTGACGATTGATTTTATGGTATTCACATTTTATTGAGATAGTCTGTAATCTTTGTGCTAAATACAATCGATTGTCCCCACCCGTGTACTTGTTCACTACAACACCTCTCCCAGTCAATGCTAATGCTTAAACAAGTAATTATATATATATAAACTACATTTGATGGATGGTGATCTATTGTACATTATAATTTAACTATATTCAGTAATATAAAGCTTCATGTTATAGGAGGAACCTAAACATTTTTATACAGCTTGTATATCCAAGCTTACTGATCTTGTCATGATCACCAAGGATAAATCTCTTTTTGAATAAGCGAACACACTGAGTTCATTGAAAGCCACAAATAAATTATTTATGTTGTATCTTTATGATCCTAACTTTTGGAACTCTCTCATCTTTATGTTTCTACTGAACTGAACATATTTCTTTCGTATCGTGTAGTTTTTCAATTACTTTAAAAACCCCTTCAACATTTAAAATCACAATTTGTCTGGCTGTGAGGCGTTTAAAGATAAAGAACTTACACTGGTAATTGGTAATCCTGTTATTAGACATTTATTTGAAATCGGGACTCCATCTTGTTGATGTGAATCAAACAAATAAACTGAATTCACTGTGGGTTTTTTCTGTAAAATATCGGTTGGTATTAAGTCACTGTAATTTCTATATGAGATAGTATTGAGTTTTGGCAGACGTTTATTAGAACTTCCACTATCTGTATTACAATTAATATATGAAGCTGTAGGTAAAGTGGTATGAGTAACCAATTTCGGTGATTCACATGATTTAGAATTAGTAGATTTATTTACGAGAGTGGAACAACAGCAACAGCATTCATAATAACACGAATCTGAATTGTTTGGGTGTGAAACACAAATATTTAATAGGAAGATAGATAGAAATGCAAGCAATAGACCAGATACTATTAGATCCAATAGTTCAGCTAGGTAAAGAAAAGTTGGATAATATGAATAGAGATCTGAGTCTAATAAGTTAAAATTAATATGTCAAAGGATATAAAAAATTAAAATAAAAAAATAAGTAGTGAAATGGCGAGTCATTTATTTTATGATATTTATTTTCAGACGAATTAAACAATCGTTAATGGAACGAACAATAAACCGTTTTCCATCACAATAATGTTAATCACTTTCTCTTTAGTAAAAAGCAGTCCAAACCGATCCTTGAGATGTTGAAAATAAGGTATATCGAATGGAAGTATTCATCTTTTTCAACAGTTTGAAAAATTGGCTATAATTTATTTTTAATGTTCTGTAATTAAAAAAAGTGAATATACGAAAATACTTCTTAAACCAGGTCACAGCAGGTTCTTCCAGTTTTTTAATATTTCCACTTTTTTCTACATTTAGAGTCCCTTATACCAAAAAGTTACAGAAAACGTGCGTCATGTATCTGATTTCCAAAAATACCATAACATTTTAACGGTGATAAGTGGATAAATACTTTTGTCATAATGACATTACAAAATGACATTACTATTTTATAAAGATGGTCTACATGATTAATTGCCATCAGTTGAACAATTGTTTTGGTGCTCCTTAGTTTCGCTATTCAAGCTAATTAAAAGAGAATGCAATCGAACTCGGTATATCTTAGATTGGCTAATAAATGGGTATATGAAAAAAGTTTTCATGATTTTAGCCCAAAGAAGACTTCCGTTTAAATGTAATTTGAGCTACCTATTAATCCACTACGAAGAACAGGTATATATCATGGTTCAACGTTTTTCATGTTGACTCGATTATTACTGTCCAGTAAAATAGGTTATATATATGCCAATCGTAAGCAGAAAAGATAAATAGTGGATTTTAAATTCACGTATTACTTGTGAAGTAGAGACAGAAATAGATTATAATCTCTAACCAAGTTATTTAATTTAATAAAGTTAATTTTAGATACAGTCACTGAATGATTGAAGAAGCAATACGAGTATATAATCGTATCAACACACACGTGCACATATGCAAACAGAGACACACAGCCACATAGACATAAAAATGGAAACAAAGAATATTGAACGGTCCAAATAGAAATGAGTATCAAGACAATAAATGATAAATGAAATGAAGAAATATAAATAATAATCACACTTACCGATTGGACTATAAATTGCCTGTACTGATTCCAAACGTATAAGACGATTTTTATCCCTTGTCAGCTGTATTGTAACACTGACTAATCTATTGTTCGTTTATTTTTAATTATTGTTAATTAATTATTCATTCATATAATTTGTAGTTGATTTTTGCGAATAACATTGTTGAATTATATAGTAGTTAATTTTTTTCATTTATTAGTAATCGGAGTAAATACAGATTTATATATGTTTATATACACGCACACAATTTGTCCGAATACATGAATTGAACACAGTACAATATAAAAAAGAAGAGATCACCAAAAGTAAAATGTGAAAAGTAGCATTAAGTAATAGAAAGTGTGAGGGGGCAATTTATTTTGATCAGAAATGAATTTTCACTCTAATCAAAGATATATAGCCGAATATAAAAATAAAATAAAATTAATAATGATAATAGTAATCTCTTTTGCCCCAGATGCATTCATTAAAGACTTTTGTTTTTAATTTTTCTACGATTTATATTGTTGTATATACCATCTTAACGAAGGGGAAACATGACCAGTATAAACAAAAAGTAGATAATAACGTCTAGAGAATGATATACTTACATAACTTAAAAACTGCTTATGTTGAACTACGAAACCTTAATAAAAAAACACTTGGAATGAAAAGTTATCACAAGTAACGTAAAAATAAAAGGTGAATGAAAATGGTTAGAAGTAATATTAAAGAAGTATTGTATAGATATTTGTTAGCTATATGCACTTTCAATGTTGTTAATTTATATTGTTGTAGAGCGTAAAATATTCACAATAGAACTATCTACTACCATTATATTAGCTTTATAGTTAAATATTTAATAATTACTTCCTAAAATCTGCATCTATTTACAGTATACTTGCATTGCATTTTCGAACTATGCCTAGAGCTTATCTTCTGCCTAAACAAGTATTTTAAGTGGTAATTTTCAATACTGATGGTGATTTTCTAAAGATCGTTTATTTTTAACGTTAATGCCGAATGGTCTATTTGTCTTGGATTCTAGCCAAAGATAAGATGGTTATACAATTCCAGAAAATCTTTAACGAGAACTAAACAGCTGTCCAATACTGTATGACTTCTTGTAGTTCATCACATTTACTCATAACCCGTTGAAAATCAACTACGTATTTTCTCGTCCTGGCTTCCAAAACTGATCACTATAGGGTTAGCGTTCTACATGTGTAATTGCTTTAGTAATCTATCACGGGGAAGGAATGACTGAAAAGATTTAAACTAAGGATCATCCCACTAGAGTAATCGTTTATTTATCCGTATTTCTTACAGCTGTCATTCATATTTTTATTGTAAGCTCACTAATAATATATTCTCATACATGATTTTATCACAAAGAAGTTGCATATTTTTTATTGTCTTGACACCACGAAGAAATAGTCAATATTTATCACCCACATGAAGTAAATATAGACATTATTAATTAGGTAAGAGTTAGCTGACTTGAATAGACTACCCAATTTTTTACCTCTGATTCTCCCTAAACAGTGAGTCTGATTAATTCAAACTATCCCTAATGTGTAAACACCTAAATTATTACGAATACTGTCAGTCACTTTGATATAAAGAAATTTGGATCCATGCGAGAAATGTCTCAAAAGAACTAAGATATACGTTATACTTTTCTTTTTGGTGTAATGATTTCCCCCAATTAGTGTTTATTTTATTGAAGTTAGAAATGAATGAATACTTTTGACCAAACTTTAAACATTCATGGCTTTTCAAACTCCAATGTCTTTCTCTAAAGTTTTACAGCAATCGACTAGTCGTTTTCTCCAAACTGATTTCTAATATTTTATTCCGCACAGACTGAAACAATATATTTTTGTATTAACCATATATGTTTGTGCTCACTTCATTTTATTGTAGTATGAGCATAGATTGACAATCTCTGCTACTCAGAAGTTAAACCCATTAAATCTTTTCCATGTTCTTAGTGTTTTGAATATCCATAATGTAAAAGCTACTATTTCATACCACTCCTATATCTATCCATCAAAAGAGCTTTTCCTTTGGGACACAATACACTAACCGTATCTCAATTCAGTTTTTAGAATCCACCTCTGAAGTTATCAATAAATGATTGCATAAGGTAAACTATTTTAATGCTTTTGTACATTTGATGAATTTACAAAACATCTTTTTTTAATTTTGCTAGTTCAATCAAACAATGTGAGGAATATTTATTATATATGTCTTAAAATTAAGAAAGCCATAATAGTTCATAACTCAAATTTTATATCCAAACAGGACTTATTTAACTCATTTAACTTCAATAATGTTAATTACAATTTGCTTAAACTTTTAAAATTTCTTTTTCTCTAGTATAATTCTGATTCTTGTCACATCGCATTCTTGTTTTCACTTTATTTCCGTATCACATTATATTATTTCACTTTTGTTACATTACACAGTTTGGTAACTTAAATTCATATGATCTATTAATTACAAACTTCTTCATATGATGATTAATAAAATAATGCAATTATAGAGGTGTCATCTTTTGAAAATAATTTTTTTATGGATGTTGCTACTATTCTGCTTGTTGTTATTTTTGAGGAAATGCAATTACTATACACGAATGAGCATTTTGAGAAAAATCATTTAAAATAAATGTATATAGATGTAAAAGATTAATGGAATCAGTAGATTATAAAAACTATATATTTTCTTAACGTAACAACATATAAACAAGTTGAATCAGATCTGTAATTCTCCAGTCTGTATTGCAATATATGTATCTTGAACGGATGAACACAATAGTGCCATTTAGCCACAAATGTTTACTAAATTTGAGTAATGCTTTGAAGTAGAATTCAAGACTATACTTTTTTCCTATTTCGCATTTGAAGATAACTTTAATAGATTCAAATCATAGTATAAACATCCACAATGTAATGGAGCAATATCTAGTTGATAATACTTATATCGAACAAAATGCATATTCTGAATCTTACTACTAGCCACTGACAAATCTAAATAAAAATGTGAATTGATATTACTTCTCACTCCACTGTAAAAACGGAACTTTTTAATTCATTATAAACTAAGAATCATATAAAAACCTATTAGTAACATTTTTAAATAGAGATTATTCACTGTTATTTTTTGTTTCAATCGAACAAGTTAAATGTATGTAACGGGAGGGGGGCGGAAAAAGTTTTTTTCACATTCTGCACTCATTACATATGAATTGACTTTGTTTTGGGGTTTCTCATTGGTTGCTTACAACTGTATTCATTGTAGAGCGTAACAGTGAGATATGACAGTATGGAGTAATCGACAATGATGACGAAAAGAATTAAAGTAACAAAGATTAACAGTGACCAAACGCGTGGATTTTCTTTGGTTTGCTGAAGCAGTAACAAATGAAAAACAAGACCAGATTTATATGTCCAGAAAGGCACAGAAATCAGTTGTTATAACCTTGGTAAATTCACAATTTTGAATATCACCTAAACTTATTGCTATTATTTTGTAATTTTGTGTCTATTTACCCATACGATCCTCACTTAAGTGACTGTTAATTCATGTACGCTAGAGCCATCCTTTTATTTATCTGTATTTTCACTCAGTCACTTATCCAAATTTATATAGACTCTTTAAATCTCATGTAAATGTTACGCAAAACACATTATCAATTTCGAATTCTAAATAATTAGAACTGTATCATTTTGTCTTTTATATATATTTTCAAGTGTCTTAAAACCACTTTAAGCTTCTCAAGTCTTCTACGAATACCAAACACACTCCATGTAATTACTGCCTAACCTCCTATCTTTCTTAAATTCGATATTATAATGACCTCACATCTACTGATTACTCCACATTGTCGTATCTCATTGTTGCACTCTACAATGAATAAAGTTGTAAACAACCAAGGAGAAACCCCGAAATAAAGTGAATTCATATTATTCTGCTTCCAGTGTTGTTTTGGTCCTAATAAAATTAACAAAGGAAACCAATGTATGATCTAAGCAATAGTTTTACGTTACAAAAATAAGGCGATATTTATATTTGTCAACTAAACCAACTGGAATACTTATATGATCAAACTGAAGAGCTTTAAAGATTTTTAGTTTAGAAACTAATCCCAGAAATAATGATGGTTTATTATTGTTACTATATATTAATGTTTATTTACTACCTGAATCAAAGTGTGTAACTTACTACCAAACTATTCGTTAAAAAGTCATTATTATTATTAATTCTTTCATACTTTAATAAGTTTAACTTTTAAATTTCAGTTCACTAACAAAATGTTGAAAACATCACAAATGATAAATAAATGAATAAAAACAATTTACTCACCCTTCTTCGGTGCTAGATTTTATCACCCGTGTATGAAAAACAAAATAAGAAGGGATGAAAACAAAATGTATGATTTAGTTAAATAACATAAAAATGGAGGAAATATATAAAAGTGGGTAAATACAGTTGAATTTTCAGAAAAGAAAACACTTAGCAACATTATTTTAGAAAAAGTCTTCAAAACAAAAGAAACTTGGTCAGGCATTTAGAAATATAACAATTAACAATTTAATTCTAAATAGGAACACACAAACTGTCAATATGCTATTAAAAGTATTTTCTTTAAAAACAAAGTCCATTAGATATGAATAAACTTTTTGAAATAATACTCACTTGTTTAATTTGTGAATTTGCTGTTTTGTATGCAAAACAAACCATAGTTTAATATATAATCAAATTATGAATACATCACATTTTTGTGTACATCCATTATTGTGTACAACTGAAAATACTCGCCAAAGTCATCAGCTTCATTAAACATCCAATGAAAGTACAAATTAAAATTGACAAACAAGTACTTTAGAATGTAATTTAATCCCATCATTTATGAGGACGAAATTGGAAGTGAGTTTGTTTACGTAATTTAAAAGATCTCTAATAAATCATTCTACAAATCTTTTGTAGTCTATCTCAATACATTTAGTTAATAACCAAAAGTGTCGTTTACAGAAAGTATAAGGTGACTTACATCAAAATAAATGAGTTCAGATTATTATAAAGAGGCTAGACATCACTAATTATTTAATGAAATGAATTTTTCGGATATCGTTACACATAATAGTTAAGCAATCACATGTTTGATACACTGGTTTAAACTCCAAAAAAATGTTACCAATTCCTTCGCTCCTGAGAGCATATTTTTTCACTTTGCTTAACAATAAAATTATCACAATACAAATATGACTACAGATCAACAACCTTTCTTGAAATGACTATCTCAAAAAATAAATAATTTTTATGGTTACCTACCTGATCAAGCTATCTGGTTTAGTGTTTAAACTAGCCCGCTTAATTGGGATAGTTTCAATTAATTCACGGTTATCCAAAACTAATTTAGAAAACACCGTTCTTAATTGTTTGAACTGCGAATCGGTAGCTAGAAGAACAGCTTGAAGACTGGCTATATCTTCACTGGCAACAATTAACTGTGATTGTTCTAACTGATTTTCCCATCTAGTATCGTTGTATATTAATTTATTGTTAGTTTGCTTGCACTGATTTGTTTTACGTTGTAAATCAAGCATTGTCACATCAGAAAACAGGTCGTTGTGTAATAATTGATTAGCGAGACGATCCAACTCATCGACGACGTTTAAAAAAAACAGACGAACAAGATGAATGTGAAAATCTAGTCCTGGGACTAATGTTATATCTCGAAACAAAATGCTTTGTCTAAAAAGGCGGACAAATTCCTTTCCTAAACGGCTAACCCTTTCTAGCATACGAGAATGTTCTTCACTATCCATACATAATCCGTTAGATTGATCTGAAGGATGTTTATTTGTTGATAGACGTTCGCTATCCCAAAGCATTAGGTCAGTAGCTTCTAAATTGAATCTGTGTTTTCTATGAACTTTATAAACTGTACGTTCTACTGTCTGTAAATCCAAATTTAAACTTTGTAAAAGGCGAGAAAGTTGTCTTAACTGTTCAAATGCTGTACGATTAGCTTCGCGTAGAAATGCCCATGTTTGAAGGAGTAAGCCATCCTGAAATAAAACGTGTATTCGAAAGAACACTAGATAATGATCTAATGATAAATATATAATGTAGTTCAACAAAAATACATGTATACACTATTCTTTGAATTTAAATAAAATTAACTATAAAAATCATACACGTTTTTAGAGAAAGTTATCTTATGCTCGGCAGTCAACCGACAATCTTGGATTTGACTTTAGCGTGCAGTGTCGTGGGTGAGCAATGCTGAAGAGTCCCTTGCCAAGACGAAACGGTGGCCCAGTGCCTCCAGGTTTCCGACAGTTTTCTGACTGATACTATATCCTGGTTTCAATGACATTCCCTTCTCCTTAGCTGTGTTTAAAAAGCTGCACTGATTTAAACTCCATGCTAAGTTGGTATGTGTTTTATAAATTCTTTGATCAGAATCTAAAAATTATATGTTAGGTAGTTGAAGATAATATACTAGAGATTCTAGCTGGCTTATTCCAGTGTAAAAATATGTCTATGTGCTATGTTCACTTAGTCTCAGAACGGAACGAAGACTGTTACACAATAACAGATAAGTTAGCTATCAGACATTACATGCCATATATGGTGAAATGGGAAACAAGATGAGAGATAAATGGCCACTAATATGACGATTGTTTTGGCTTCCTTAACACTCCATGTACTACAATAACGCTGTAATTGTTTTTTGAAAACGTTTTCACGAAGAATTCATTTAGTTTAAAGTAGATGGTTTTTGATAAAGTAGGTAAAATGCTGCAGTCCCTTTCTAGTTGCAACATTAACGACACTCAAGAGCATTAAAAGTTGAATTGATGAGTCGACCTACGTTAGACCACCATTAGAAACCTGGAATTACTGGGCGGCCGTCTGGTCCTGGTATGGGACTTCTCGGAAGTACACATCCATGATCTCTCACGCAAACCTTGAATCCTGGACCTTCGATCTAGCACGTGAACGCTTATGACACGAAATATTCAGAATTATTTACCAGCTTTTATGAGTATTTAGTTCTTTAGTTAAAACAATTAAAAAGGAGAATAATGGACACATAAACTATTTCAGTTCAATGTACAAAAGCGTTTATTGCTCCGTGTTGACGGTTTAACGACTTATTAGGAAGTAAAATAGTAGTAATATTTTGAAATATCGTTTGTAAAGAAACAAATCATCACAGATATTATTTTTTGTCCTTACGACGATATTATATTATTTCAAGACTGCTGAACAAAAATAGTTTTCAAACACTTTCATTCAGAAATATTTATTAAACAAATTCTTAAGTCCTGTAGTTTATGGATAAAAGTTACTGTTATTGGTCAAACAGTTATAAACAGGTATTTTTTAGAGATGCACACACCTGTTATAATCACCATTTTGTTTTATTTCCCACCATAAACTTACTTTTATGATTGAAATGTTATCAACATAAAACGTACAATGTAACATTAATGGTACAATTCACCGTATTCCTAAAGGAGAGCCACTAAACCTCTAAGTAAACATCATTCAAACGGAAGGGATGGTTGCTTATTAATTTTTATCTGTATGTTAATCCAAATAAAATTGTGGTTTAATTATCAAAAGTAAGACAAAATGTTTTTAGAAGTCAGTACATAAAAATTTTGAAAAGTAACATAGTGGTTAATTAACTTCATAAATTATTGTAAAAACTATTATTCTGACCATCCACAGAACTCGCTTACACACAATGGCTAAGAACATTTAAACAATAAAAAAAACCTATAATATATCGTATTTACTGAATTTATTTTTATCTTCATGAATTCAACTTGTTGATAAGCATTAAAAGTCAAATCAATCCCTTTCAAAAACAATGCACCGAATGAAATTAGGATTAAAAATTAGCTACAAGTAGTTATGACCAGGTGTAGTCTTAGTCTAAAGATTTCCTATTTCTTAACATTAGTTGCTAAACCTGTGCTGTATTTTTCTCGAGCTGTCAATACGTTAAAATGTCATGATTTTAAATCCTAGTTGATGTGGATAAATATCAATATAATAGTACTGTCTGAATTTTTCGACAGCACTGGAAGACAATAACAAACTTTCTTTATTTTCTATCGCTTACTCTAAAAAAACTAATTAAAACAATAATATGATGAGAATTTGTCAGCGATAAAAATGATTAGATAAAGTAATTTCTAATACAAAACAGTAACCTACCCAAATCTCTTTTCTGTAAATATGCAGAAATTGTTCCGATTGATTTATATTCAATTCTTTAGAGTTTTTATGATTATTGTTATTAGGATCATAATCACTAATGTCATCAGAAACAGTTGTCAGTTTTTGGTTTTTCGATATAATTTTGTTATTAAATTGTTGTTGATCAGTAAGTAGTTGAAAATTATTGTTTGAGTGAAAGTTGGTTTGATTTATTTTAGTAAATAGACTTAGAGAATGTGTAAATAATAATGGGGATTTTAATGCTTGGGTTATGGATTCTACCGAATAAGATATCGCTTCACAGGGATTATGACATCGACACTGAACTGGTGATAGAGATTCTATGGTGTGATGATAATGGCAGTTGTGTTTAGAAGAAATGAAAGGAACAATTAAAAAAAGATCAATGCAGTATGTCAACTAAATATAGTATAATTTCAAATAAAGTTTCATGTGATTGTTCGAAAAAATATTTCATAGAACAATGAGTTTAAACAGGAATCCTTAAGTTTTTATGTGGTATTTTTCAATAACCTGGATAATTTTTCATTACACAAAACAATGTGTAAGACATTACTAGATTAGATGCAAGAAAATATATGTAACACAGGCAGAATCAGATAAATAATAAACACAAAACACAAGAATAGAGAGAAGGACTTATTTAAAGTCGCTTTGTCTCTGCCCATCACATTAAAAACTGAGGTTTAAGAAATGTTTAATTTATAAAATTAAATAAGTTTGATTTACATATACAGTGGAGAAGTAAATCAAAGTGGCTATTCGAAGGTTAAGATAAAGTAAATACTAAGTGAAAACTCATAGAAGAAAGTATACAAGCTTGGTTATATTAAAGACTATAGGATCAAGTATTTACAGAAAACAGCAGTGCAGCGAATAGTTAAATCCTCATTTATTGAAATTATAGGATAAGCCAGTTAATACATTACTTAAGATGCTAATCCAGTACTTACATATAGGTTAAAGCGTACCATTAGTGATCATATTTATTCGTGTTTGTTGAGTAGTTTATACTCACCCGAGCACATATGCAAAGCAATAATTATAAAATTTACTTGTGACTGTTTCAGCAAGCACCAAAACGGATTCAAAGTACATGAATTATGGTCTGATATCGCATGACATGTTATTAAAATCTCAATAATGTTGTTGCACATCAACTATCTCATTACACGTACTGTCTACTAATCAGTCTAAACCTAGAATAACTGACAGTCTGTTACATGATCAAAAGCCTAAATTGGAGCAAGTTTTATTGACTGGGCTTGGTGTTTTTCTGAACTTGGTTATTACTTCCTTACATTATACTAGAGCTGACAAGCGCATGCATCTGGAATACCTAGCAATAACAGCAGAAAGAGCCATAAGAAAAGGAATATATGAAAACCAAATGATACAATCGAAAAACTAGCAGGAAAATGTAGCAAACCAGAGCAACCAATCGAAATCAAAGAAGATAAACCAAACACTGGGATTAAAGAACAGCAGAATAGGTGGTTAAAACACTTTGAAAAACTCTTAAATAGATCAGCCTCACGCACCCACCGGATATCAAAGCAGCAACAGAGATCTTCTTCCGAGAAAGTAGCTTACACTGAGTCACGAAACGTCAGAAAGTCTAATTTTTCTACTCACTGGGATATTGCAAATACATTGTTTTTGTTCAGAACAATCTACCCAATACTCAGTTTATTTGAAATTATCAAGCTGAACCTTGGTAATGATACCTATAATCTAAATTCCGTTTATGTGTATATTATTTATAGGTATTTGACTCTACTGGGTCTAGTTCTACATTTTACATGATTAGTGTACTGGTTCGAATAAAGCTTTCTAGAACTTTACGTCACTGTTATAACTTTCAGATTCAACTAATCAACAGATTATGATCAAATAAACTGTTTTCATATATGTTCAAACTTTAGTGAATTCCCCTTCGGTAAAAGTTGATAGTGATCTAATAAATTAACAACCGAGTAACTTTCTTCCGAAATTCCCATCTAAATTAGTTTAAATATTTTTTATTGAATGAATATGTACTATGTCCATACTCTCAAAAAGGTATAGATTCAGATGAATAGTCACCAGTATCAAAAAATGTTTTGAATACATCCAATGAATTTAAACTAAAATGGTAGCAATAAAACAGCTTTTGGATTATTCTCTCGAAATGTTTTGCAACTTTAGTGAGTAAAACAGTGACCATTGTGTTAAAGATGAGTGGTTGTTGAAATGAGCAAATTTAGGTCATGATTACTCAAATAAGTTATTTAAGCTCATTAATACACAAAGTTATCAAAATTCTAGTTAGATTTCTGTAACTTTTAACTTTAATAAACAAATCTGACAAATCCTTATATCCTTGCAACACATTACAAATTACGAATTAAAATCCAGTAGCTTTTTTTACAAAATAATAAAAATAGCAAATAATTCTGAAGACTTCCCATTCTCAGTATAATTATCGACAAATAAAAAGACTCAAAATAGATGCTTCTAGATGAAAATATAATGTACATACAATAATTCTTGAATATAAGAATGTATAGGTACATCATTCATTATTCATATGTGAATATAGTTTTCCATAGTCGCAATCATCTGGTAGGTAAATTTAGCCGGAATATATCGATCTCTTGGTTTAGATTGCCTTACAAAAAATATTTATATATAAATTCAAACTATGATTGGTAGCTTTCTATATCAGAAGTTCAAGGGACACTAATTAAACATACTATGGAAGAAGCAACTCAAACAGTTGTTAAGCTTAATGATTATAATTATTCTCAGACAATGCAGTTATGTTAGCTGATGAGTATAACATGTTCAATACCTATCTCTATATCCTTAGACTCCGTATGTGAAACCTTCCGATTATTGAAGAAACTATCATTTCTTTATGACTTCTACTGTTTTCACGTTTGATTTTTTCAGTCATTGAGACATAAGAGCTTTATATAATGCGAAACCATTTCTGCTTAAAATATTTATGCCTAGTCTCAGCGTTAGCCGCATTCTACATAATAATGAAAAGTAGTTTAAATTATCAAAAAGTACATGGACTTAAAAATAACTTATAGCTTTTTATTATAATCTAGTAATGATCAAACGTTTTGACCATCATTTGTTATATTTAACATTAAAAGATAAACAGATTCGCTAACATTGTTATATTTCTTATTACAGACTGAAGAAGAAATTAGAGTTGATAAATACAAAGTTAATTACTACTCGATTCTCAAATAAACACAAAAATAAAGTCAAATGAAATTCAGTAAATTTTTACGCAACTTATTCATAGATCTCTCTCCGAATTCAATATTGAAGGTCCATATTGATCCACTGTTGAACGATAAATAAATAAAAGGTACTAGGTTCAATTGTTTTTAAAATCGTGCTGCACAACGTTTTAGCAGCCTAGCCTGTGATATTTTCAGACTTGTTACCTGAATATAAAAACAACTATTTATCGTAACTTTCTAATGCTTCTAAGACTGAATATTATTTCTTGAAGTCATTAACTTCGTTCCTCAATATAAAAAACATAAAATTACCTCGTCAAAGTTATCAGTCTTGAAAAAAAGCCCATTGTCATACTAAGAAAATAGACATTTTGATTCTTGGAAAGCCAATTTAACACTTACAGTTTAATAATTAAAGGTTAGTTAGGTACTCATTTTAATCATATTAGTGTTCACATTAAGAAAACAAGTTTTAACACAAACAAACTTGAACATAAATTCATTTGATATTGTTTGTTTTAATCTTGCCATTGATGTTTAGGACTGAAATTGATCAGTCTCTTATTGGTATATGTGCATCCTATGCGGATTACCTCGATATTGCCTTAATTCACAAGCTTAATAAACAAAGGTTACATAAATAAATGGGCCGACCCGCATGAATAAGTTGAAATGAAAACATATGTAGTTAACAGCAATTTACGGATAAACGTGAAATCGTTTTCACTTATTATGGATTAACAAAATAGAATGCTGCAGTGTGCTTAAAGATAGAAAAAGATGTATTCTCGGTGAAGATAAAATGAAAACCAGATAAAAGGATTGAGCGTCTGTAGTTCTTATCAATGAATATAGAAGGATATCCGTTTTTGACAAGTATCTCTTTTAAAAAACCCAATTCTTCCTCTACGACCTCGGGGCTACAGATTCTTCGTACTCTTGTGGCCAGAGTTATTATTAAGTTTCTTTTTCGGCTGATGGGAACCCAAATGTGGAAATTTGATAGTTGGCAAAAACGGATATCCTTCTATATTCATTGATAAGAACATGAAACCGAAAATGCCAAGACCACAAACCACTGCAGTAGAAAAGAAAATTTTATACATGAACATCGACTTCAAAGGTGATAGAGCCGCATATATCTTAAAGAGGAAAATTTCAGATTCTTTAAAAAGAACATTCTTCGCAGCAACATTGCGAATATTATTCTCCAGCCGATCACTGTTCACCAATAATCTGAGAGATAAATTATCGCATCTGACCAATTCAATGTGCATTTACCAATTTACCTGCTCTTGTGGAGCTAGGTATATAGGTCGTTCGATGCGTACTTTATCCAAAAGAATTCAAGAACATTGTCCGGCGTGGCTAAGAAGAGGAGGCAGCGGCTCAATAAGAAGTTCTATTATCGAACACCTTGTGAACACAGGTCACTCAATCAAGACAGACTCTGCGTTCAAAGTCATCTACAAGGTAAGTAGAAGCCTTCCTAAGACAATTAGACTACGTCTTCTTTGCATTGCCGAAGCAATAGCCATACATTTTGAAAAACCAGAATTATGTGTACAAAAGAGACTGGTACAACCTCTTCTTTTACCATGGTCTTAATGTATTAAAAATTTTTTCTCTTTCTCATTACTCTTGTTCTTTTACAGCCACCTGCTTCACCTTCCATCTTCCCTTCAAATCTTGTACCCCCAACCGGTTTGTTTTTATTTCAACGATCATTCCGATTACATTTCATCTCTGTTTCAACATTTTATGTTATTTTATCATGCTGAGCTACTCTTACCCGATGAATATCTAAGCCATTAACTATCAAACTTTCCTTGTTTTTAAAAATTTTTTCTAATACCTTTGTTTATTTAACCTCACTGTCACCATGTATAACAGAAGTTTATTATCAGTATTATTATCACCCTGTAAAAATAAGTATATATATTTGCGATTGTACAGCTTTGAAAATGAATTCGCCGAAAAGAGAACTCTTCGCTGAACTAATCTTTCTTTCTTATTTCCTAAATTACACCTTTTTATTTCAACTGTAATTACCACTTATTCTGTTAAGTTATTCACTGTTAAATTACTGTTTCGACATGTACTATTGAAGCCCTTTAAAGCTTCCAAACATAAAAGAAATCTTAAAAAATCATAAAACCGTGTAACATTTATAAATGTAGAAATAATCGACTCACCGATCATTGAATTCATAGTTAATCCACATTTCATCATTTCAAAAACAGTACAATCTGTAAGACAACAAGGAATTATCCACTACTACAATAACGAAATAAATAATTTTTCAAGAACTTTTTCGAGGACAAAATTATGATTTCTTGTCACAACAAAATGTTTATAATAATAGTTTAACAATGGTCATTCACAATAATAACAAAATATTATGTCTTGTTTAGAGGATAACAATTTTCTATATCCAAGCATTTGATTTAAAGCCGTATTAAGAATATAAGGTGTAGAAAAATTTGTTGGCATTTAAATAATTCCAAATTGAATTTAATAGCATTGAGAGAAGCTACTCAATGACGAATTACTAGTTGATTGCTTTCATACAAAAATTTGTAAAATACCAATTATCCACGATATTTCTTATTTCTTATGTAATATTTTATTAAATCTCTTGTTTATTTTCATACAAACATAGACTTTCTTCACTGTTTATAAACTGTACACTCAACTGTTTTTTCTCATAAAATACCAAGATGTAAACAAATCTACTAATAACCAATGAACTTAGCGCACAAATGGTTGTGACTGTCAATGTGTAAACTGTGGTTTAAGAGAATGAAAGTTACATAAACCTATAAATAGAAGTCGGAGTTCGTTTACAATAAAATACGTAGTTGGTTATCACAAAAAATCAAGATACAGTCGAATAAAAGTATTTGTTAAGGAAATATTTTAACAGTATGTTAATTAAACTGGAGTACATATTTATTTTCTATTCTGGACACAAAACAGATACACTGTTAATCTTTAACGAAAACAAAATTAATAGGTTACAAAGTGGGAACATCTCGAGAAACATTGCCAAACATTTGAACTTTTTTAACACACAGAGAGAAGCAGGTGATGAATGGAACAATGTACAGACAAGAAATACAAAGGAGAAAACAAGAATTAACAGAATGATAGATCAATATTTATTATCGATTAAATGACATAAAATCACTCATCTTAAGTGGAGGACTCACAAGTGTATAAAAAGTAGGGAAAATTTACTAGAAATGGCATTTGAAACATTCATATTTCATAGTTAATATTTTCTGTTTGATAAATTAAACTTATGACTAAAGCATTTATAGAATGTTGCATATGTTGTAATTTTTGCAAAATGTACTTAAATTATATGACAAGTGTTCTCAGATGTCAGATACACCATTTGCTTTTTAGTCATTATCGTATGAGAATAATATTTCAAAGATAGATCTAAGTGATCAAAAATATCCCGTCTCTTTACATTTATCAGACCTGAAGGTTTCATCATAGTTACATACATGTTTCTTACTTCTATGACCACTCACGTTGAAAAGTTACTTTAAAAGTTCAAATGATTAGACTTAGGATGTCCGTCTAGATTTATTTATTAAAGTAAGTCGATACTAAACTGCATACGAACGTCCACAACCGATTCGTATAACAGATTAAAATAAAGATTAATTTAATATTACTCAATTACAGAACCTGATTAACTGAAAATCTGTGACATAATAAAAACATTTATCTATACTGTGGATATCCGGTTTGATTTCTCATCAACTTTCATTATTCATCTAGCCATTTACTGAAAGTTAAACCAACTTCAGTAAGCAGTGCTATGTCTTTATCTACTAATTTGTTGAATTTTTCTTCTAAATTATGCCAAATTATCAACATTTATGGTGTTATATTTATAGGTCTTCACAGAAATTTTGGAATCTCGTGACAGTTTACTGCCATATTTTGCTTTCAAACATATACAAGTTCTATATGAATGTTCACGTGTTCAGGATTACTTACATGTTGGTACAATTATTATGAGTGATTTTTTGTTGCATTTCACATAATACTGGATCGAGTTACATTAAAACACATACCTTTAGTAAAACTAACCTAACAGAATATCACTTAAATACAGCAGCATATAGTTTACTAAACGTTTTACAAAATATGGTGAAAATAAAACTTAAGACATTGGAATGTGACTGAAGAAAAATGAATAACTATCAAAATGAATTAGTAATTTTTCTAATTAGAAGTCGGTAATAATAATGCAAAAGTTAATAGTTTTTCAGTTTTAACTATATTAACTGAGAACGTTTTGTAATGTATCCGTTTAAAGTAATTATGTATAATCATTTTTCATTCAATATAGGAAATAAGAATATTTTAAAAAAATATGCTCTAGTCAGTCATTATTGAATTACATTACAATAATATAACATGTCTAATAATTTAAGATAAATGAAATAAAAATAATTATGCAACACCTATACATGAAATGCATAAGTGGTTTCCCCATAAGTATATGTTTTTGGTAAGTTCAGTTAGATCAAATTTAAAAATACAGCACCATTCATGAACTGGATTTCTTGTTCTTGTTTTAATTATGAAACATAAAATTATTTTAGGGTATTTATACGTGGTTAGTGGCATTCAATTTAGTCTACAATCAAAAGTGTTAAATTTCATAACATTTTGTAAATAATAATCCTGTGACTCAGGAATTCAGTAATCTGATATATAAATATTGAGCTTCTGATTTGAATATTATCACACTATTTCAATTGAATATAGCTTTAATGCAATTGCAGTGACAGAAGCTCATTTATTCTTTATTTTCTTCTAACTTGTAAGTTCCAAAACTATTACCAAAAGACGTTCTATTAGCTAATTTCATTTGTTTTTATCTAACAATAAATTGTTTAATTAGCCACAACTACTAATATTCCAATTTGAGCTCCTAACTCCTTGTTTGTTTTTATCTTGGACTTTGTGATGGTACAACGTATAACTGAATGCGTGCATAGTAAATCCCATGGTTCAAACGACTGCCCTTCGTTATTTACTGAAATTGTACATCAAAGAACAAGTATGCTTCATATCAATTGAATAAAACCGTTTGGGGTTGCATTATTGAATTCTACTTAGTTTTGAAGCTATGGATTGGTTACTGATTGATACAATGTCTACGTACCAGAAATCCGAAAACTTGACTTTAAGATTTACAAATAATTACTAGTTTTTCATAAGGCATTATAATTGATTTTAATTCAAAATTAAGACTGTTATGACCATTACTATTATTATTATGACTGCCGTTAATAAACAATGAAATTCAATCAAACAAAAAGCAAAAGAAACGTGAAAAGCGAAAATCTAACCTGGCAATTGACAATGACATTTTTCTAATAACATTTCTTGCATGCAATCATGCATACAGCTAGCCCAGATTGATTGACTTGTACAATGTTGTTTATAAATCTATAATACAAAAAATCAGACTTGAAAATGAAGAAACAAGTTATCCGGAAATATATTTTAAAAAATAAACCACACACAGATGATGCAACAAGGTGTAAGGGAAATTCTGAAAAGTACTAAGCAGAAATTTTCAAAATTCCAATACAAAAAGTTTTTACAATCGTTTGCTAAGCTAATACTAAAAGCTTTTGTTCTGAAACTTCTTGAAAGGACTAGAACAGGAAATAAAGGGACAATTAGAAAGACTAAACATGAGCATCATTTTTACTTGTAAGTTTTAAGATGAAAAACCATTTCAAAACATTTGAGTTTCAAGTTTTTCTTAACCTCATGATTTTCAACTTTTCGCAGAATGTTATATAATTAACAATCTTAATCCATACACTACATATGCTGAAATTCATAAATTTTTTAATTGTATTGACGAGCGGAAATGAGGAAAAAGTTATACGATATTAAAAGTAGGTAATATTACAATTAAGATCATTGCCATTACTTTGGTTTTTACTTTTTTCTTTACATCTATTTACACTAGAATTAATTTCAGAAGAAGGGGGACTTTGTTTATATGATTTAACGTCGGTCTTTTTATTATTACTTTCATTACTATTGGCCATAGTTGTATTAATTCACTATGATTTACAGTATGTAGCTAACAATAATAATATTTATTTCAACATAATAGAAACATATCATAAAATGTTTTGAATGATTTTTAATAAGCCTTAAGAAAATATAATAAATCAAGAGAAACTACTCATTCTTGTTTTGCCCTAAAACAACAAGGAAAATTACAATTAATTTACTCTAATTCATCTATTTAAAGAAATTATATATATATATATATATATATATATATATATATATATATAAGGAGAGAGAGGTGTACTATGATTAACCTATAAGCACTCTATTAACTTTACAATGTGTATATCCATAATTGTATAATGTTGTAGTAAAACTTAAAATTAAAAAACAAGGTTAAAAAACGTTCATAGAAATTGATATGAATGAACCGGAATTTAATTTCAATAGAATGTCAAAAGAATATTAGTGATTTTTAATTTATTTTTATTAAAAACTCAGTCAACTTTACTAGAGAAATACATATATTATATTCTTCTACATCTCTTTGCTCTTTTCTTATAAAACCTAGTGTTGATGTAAGATTTAATGTTTACCTACATTTTTTTACTACTAGTAAGTATGTGTTTACTTTCTGTATCTTACTGTAGTAATCTAGTGATATTTTTTCTCTGGTTTTATCCCATGTACAGGAAATCAGCTTATGTCTAATAGATTTCTACTAGATGTATAGATAGATATAGGAGAATCATAGTAGGCTTGTACAATATTGTATACACATAAACATATATTATGGTCAAAGAAATATGAATCCGGGTATATACCTCTACCTTTTGTTGCATCCTGACGATATAAAGACAAGAAACAGATGCTATGGTAACAAAGAAAAATGGTAGAGACAAAAATGAGTGTACTGGAATTCTCTTACGTGTACAATAATTATATATATATATATATATATATATATATATATATATATATATGTATATATATGTATATATATATATGACTTAAATTTTAAGTGTGATGATAATGAATTAAGAAAAATAGAAATAATAACATTCTTTTTTCATCCAGTTTTTTCTTCATTACAAATACATAATTTACTTTACAGCCTTTTAGTGAAATATGAGTTTTAATTGTCTAATAGATTTTTCATTTTAATAGCAGCCTGTAAAAGTAGTTAATTTACTATTCTTATTAAGTTAACCCAGTCTTCATACAGTTTCAACAGTACGAATGAAGCAAAAATAATCAAAATAATCAAAACCATACATTTTTGAGTTCTTGTTACTGCTTTAAATTATGTATTAATTTTATAGAAATAATAAAAAAACAATGTTATGATGATACTTTCAAACTCAATTTAAACAAACCAATAATGCTATATCCAAACGCAAAATTACTTCTCATTACCCAACTTTACTACAGCCAACTTTAGAATTATTAACAGTGACTATTAAAACTGTATGATATTGATATCAGTTATAATCATTAAGTTTGACTATCTACCTTTAAAAATAATCGCCCATAAAATTATATTTATACTTCTTTGACAATTTGCCTAACATATTACATAATTAGAAAGACTAAAAAGATTGCTTTATATGATGTAGTGATATCACAGTAAAACTATAAATCATGAACAAATAACAGATAATAAAAGAATGGTTCGTTTTAGTTCGACAGTCAGTATTTACTACCAACACTGTAACTACTTGCGAAAATGTTATTAAAAGCGATTTCAAACATCACTGAGAATGAAAACAAATTATATTAATCCAATGATGCATCATTTCGAAATCCTGAATATTTTCACAAAGTATTCATGCGACTAAAATCAAATAGACACACTTCGATCTGTTCTTCCACTTATTTTTCTCCAAAGCTTATTTCCCCCATTGATATTATCTGTTCAGACCCTAATGTTTGGTCACTCTTGGGGACCACATAGTTTATCAGTTAGTTTGACATACATTCTTAGGCTTCGTACACTACAAAATAAACGTTCTTCAAAGCTCCATCAAGAATATTTAATCATTTATATTATCCTGACACGATACAGCTGTAATGTGTACTAAACTCTGAAACAGTTTGACATAAACAAATATAACTATTTTACATCAAATAATTCAGCGAATTCCAAAAGTTAAATATATTCCACCGTATTTCAGAAAATGATAGCTATATTAATGCAATTATAATATCCCACATCCTCCCAATCGTGTCAATAGGTTTAGTTAAGCAAATAATTTTTACATTTTAAACATCTCTTATGCCAAAAGAAGCCTGAAACAATTTTTGTTACGAATGGTAGTACTATTTCTATTGACATAATGAGGCAAAACAAAGAATGAAATAAACGTCAGTAAATAATCCTGACTTTTGCTTGTAGTAAAACGAGAGGAGGAAAAAGCGAACAACAGGAACATACCGAAAAACGTTTATATATTTAGAAGAAATGTGATTTACAGAATACAATTATAAGCTAAGAAATGAATTCTTAGTTCTCCATAACTAATATTAATAATATATGAAATAAATTCTTTTTTAGAGCATATGCATATTTCGATCATACGCAAGCTTCAAAACCTACATTTTATGAGACATTCGATAAACCATAACATACAAATCATAACATCCTGTATATGACCACTAAATATATGAATTATGCGACAGACAGTAAATTATGGAGTTCTTCATTTGTACGATGTTTCTTATTTCATTTTGAAGCAGTGCCTTATTCTCATTAAAAACAAAAAAATATGATATTTAGTTTTAACAACACATATGTGTAGAAGGGAATTAATCCGCTAATAAATTTAGGGAAGTTTATGAAAAAATTGTTATTACGTCCAAAATTATGCTTTCAGATCTTTTACATGAAGTAAATATTTATGAATATCGTTGTGACATTTTTAGATAACCTAAGGGATAATACAGGTTGTAGAGCCGAATTCCACTGAGTTTCCTATTACACTATCATAATAAAATTGTGAAAAATGATGGACTGTAAAAAGAGGAACAATAATCGTCTGAAAAAATATGTAACCAAACTTACCCTAAGAAGTTTTCCCTAAATTATTCTTATCTTTGAAAACACGAGAAAACAAAAAAATTAATCCAGTCTTTCAAATATGCCGTATATATATATATATATATATATATATATATATCGTAATAGAGAACTATTGTTTACCTCAACAACCTTAGCAATTAAAAAAGATTCCATTATGAATCCAACTTAGTTACAGGTTAATTCAAAACGAACTGAAACTGGACGTTAGTTTCATCATATTCCAAGACATATCAACTGTCAGAAATGAAAGTAGATGTTCAATAGTAATAATCCTTGATAATCACACAGTTGTTCAAATCGTTTATAAGTATAAAAATTAAAATAGTGGTTAAATATTGACATAACATTCCATCTTAGAGCTTCTTCCGTACTTACTTATTGCTTACGCCTGTTACTCATCGTGGAGGAGCACAAACCGCCCACTGGCACTCCCCATCAAACTCTGTCCTGGACAATCTTTTCCAGTTCTTTCCAGTTGTTGTTCATCCTTTACTCATCTGCTTGTATTTCCCGACCTAATGTGTTCTTTGGCCCTCCTCTTTTCCGCTTCCCTTCAGGATTACAAGTTAGGGCTTGCCTCGTGATGCAGTTTGGTGATTTCCGTGATGTATGTCCTGTTCATTTCCAACTTCATTTCTTCATTTCCTCCTCAGCTGAAACCTGGTTTGTTTCCTCTCATAGAATTGTGTTGCTGATGATATCCGACCAATGGATGTTGAGTATCTTGCGTAGACAGCTGTTTATAAATACTTGTATCATTTTGATGGTGGTGGTTGTAGTTCTCCAAGTTTCAGCTCCATACAGTAGGATTGTTTTGACTTTCGTATTGAAGATTGTGACTTTGATTTTGATTGACAGTGGTTTTGAGTTCCATATGTTCTTCAATTGAAGGAATATGGCCCTTGCTTTGCCAATCCTCACCTTCAAGTCTGCATCCAATCCTCCTTGTTCATCGATGATGATGCCCAGATACGTGAATGTTCCCACCTTTTGCAGAGTCTCTCCATCAAGTGTGATTGGGTTGATGTTCTCTGTATCGTATTTGAGGATCTTGCTTTTCACTTATGTTTGTTAAGGTCTACTGATACAGATGCTGCTATTACATTAGTCGTCTTCATGTGCATTTGTTCGTGTGCATGGGATAGGAGGGCTAGGTCATCTGCGAAGTCCGGATCGTCTAATTGGCTCTGAGTTGTTCATTGTATGCCGTGTTTTCCCTCAGATGTCAAGGTCTTCACAACCCAGTCGATCACCAGAAGAAAGAGGAGGGTAAAGAGTAAGCAGCCTTTTCTGACTCCAGTCTTTACTTAGACTGCATTTGCCAGCCGTCCTCCATGCACGACTTTGCACTATAGTCCGTCGTATGAGTTCCGGATAATGCTGACAATCTTCTCAGTAATTCCATATTGTCGAAGAATTTTCTATATTGATTCCCTGTCCACACTGTCAAACGCCCTATCATATTCAAGGAAGTTGATGTATAGTGACGAGTTCCACTCAAGTGACTGTTCGACGATGATCCGTAGTGTCGCGATTCGGTATGTGCACGACCGATCCTTACGGAATCAAACCTGTTGATCTTGAAGTTGAGTGTCTACTGAGTCTTTCATCAGGTTCAGCGAAACTCTGTTGAAACGACCAATTTTCATAGGTACGTGGAACGTCCGGACAATGTGCGAGACCAAGAAGACCAGATTCATCTGTGATATTCTAGAAATTAAACTTTTGGGGATTTATATTTGCTTGTGCTTATTGTTCCCAAATGAACACTGACACTTTGAAACGAATCAAGTAAGTTAGCATATTTTACGGACACACATTGTAGTGAACAAAACACGAGTGGGGACAATCGAATGTATTTAACACAAAATCACAGGACTTGTTAATAAAATCTAACAATCATAAAGTAAATGCTTAATTTGCAAAATGTCCATCACTTGTCTCAAAATGACTCAGACTTCATTGTTCTTGCATTTTCATACAAATTGCGTTCTGTTTCGACTTTTTACTGTTCGATCCTCTTGTCTCTCTGTTGCCAGACCTTCTGTTCACGACTAACATCATGTACTACCTATGTCAATATAAGTAGCACACACCACAACATCAATACAAATCATAACATATCCTTTAAAACATTTACCTGAAATGTATTTGTATACAAATCAAAGGAACGATATTCAAAGTATCACGGTTGTCTGAAGCGACAGTTATTCTTTTAGTTGAATAAACTGAATATATTATCACAAAATATTCAGAAGTATTCTGTAATTTCGCTAGAGGAATTTTTAAATACATATAAAACTAATGCATATGTTTCATCACAACAGCTTAAAACTAGAATATGCATCCAAGTAACAGTTGGATCCACATTGCTAACATGACTAAATATTTCCTTTATTCAGTATTTGAACACTTTAGTTTGGAGAATCTGCCATCTATTAACCTTAAAAGTGGTTTATTTAATTCTTCCTACCCAAAAGAACTTGCTCCATACTCACTAAGAATCGCATAATAAATAAATCAATTTAGCCAGACTTTCCTTAAGGTTAAAAAGAGAAAAAGCGGAAATACATTTTGAAATGTTAATCAGTGCATGTCAGTATTTAACTAACACTAAACATTAATACACGTTAGTGTTTGCTTAAAACCCTAGCTGCTTTCAATGAAGCTATTTATAACATTTGGAATTATTATCTTCATTCGACTAACTCAAAGCCGAATGCTGATTCTCATTTAGCATTTTCGTTTACGTTCAGTTTACTTCTTACTTTCACTTATCTCAAGTTATAAATATACATGATATTTTTTAGACAAATAGTATTTTATTTATAATACCATACATATCATTCAATAGAGAACACCTATACCAGTTATTTCTAATATTTTTAAACTAATAATACCAGTAATTGTCATTTTGTTTTCAACCAAACGTATACGATTCTAATTTAGATTAATTGAATTATGACATATTATTACAACAAAAAACTAGATGGAATTAACTTAATCCATTAATCATTGGTTTATGAATTAAATAACCAACTAAATGTTTGTTTTTTTTATACTTTGAAATCATTTATCAATCAATAAAGACTTACAAATATTATTGTTAGGCTTTATAAAACTAAAGCAATTCTTATTAAGTAAGCAAGAAGGATGAAACATAACTTGTACTTATAAAATAATATCTTTATGGCTACAAACCAGGATGACGTCTATTGCTTTATTGTCCCATCCAAAATAAGTAAATTATTGTTCAACTATTAAAAAAATACTAGGAAATTAAATAACAGTGACTATAATTCATTTTTGTATTGTTTGTTTAAATCTTTTTATTGATGTTCAGGATTGTGATTGATCAGTCGCTTATTGGCATGTGTACATTGTGTTTTAATACCCTTGATACTGCCTTAGCTCACAAGCACTATAAGCAAAGATGGATTGTGTCTATCTAGACTCAGTAGCTAAGTGGATAACGCGGTGGCATTTGAAGAGGACGGTACTGGATCCGAGTCCTGGAGAAGACATGAACTCTGGGATGGAGGTACATCCAACTGACAAGTTTCAAATAGGACGAAACGACCGTTCTGAATTCCAATGCTAGCTACCACTAATCTCTGCTTATAATATCAGTGACCTTGTTTATTTCAACCAGATGTGGAATAATATATAAAAATTTTAAATGTGAACATTTAACCTATTCCTATACAAAGATTAATAGATCATTGTGGAATAGAAGTTCTTTTGAAACTGATTTATTCACTATACAAAACTGATCTTTTATTTATATCTACAAATTTTATGAAAAAAATGCACAGAAATTATGCTCTTAGACCTAGTGGTAAACAATATTAATGAGTATCATAAAGGTAATACTAAAGTGTATAACTGTATGGTTCCTCATATTGTTTTGCCAAAAGCTTCATTCCTTAATATTTTATATGCCTCATAAATTTTTTTAAGAATTTGAACGCGAGCTGTTAAGCAATTTTAATATGAAATGAAGAATTCGAAAGTTTTTATTTTTAATACATCACCTATCTGCTAAGATAATTATCATAAATAAGTTAATTATTTTCTGGACGAAATATTCCTACAGAAGATTGATCCTAGTCAAAAGTTTGGATATTTCCTAATTTTACATATACAACTATTATTTTTATTAAATAGAATATTTATATACGTGGAAAGTAGCAAGAGCACTCTAAAAACTTGTTTCTTACAGTTAAATTTGTTCTTTGAAACTATTTCAAAAATCAACAGAAATGTACGGCTCAAGAAACGAAACATTCTGGAGTAATAAATTTTTTAAGTGGGATAGTTTCAAAAGCATCGTAAAGATTAAGTTCTATGAAAGATAATACAATAATTAATCAATTATGTTCATAAAAATCCTAAAGCATCATGTAGTTTAACAAAACATTATTCACCTTTTTAAGGCCAACTGCACGTAACATAGTATGAAATGTTGGACCAGCATAAACAGCAGTTGGTATTAGTGCCCATAAGGAATCACCATATCCATGTAGTAAAATGCGAAAGCCAATAAATCCTTGATTCGGTACCAAATAATCGTAACTTTGTGGATCTAACACTAATTGAATTTCGTCTATGCCTAGAGATCGAGAAATTAAATTTTTTTATTACAATAGTGTTAAAAGACTAAGCATAAAATGTATCATCCTTGATTGTTTTAGATGCATAATTCTTACCTTTAATGTGTTTGCAATTCAACGAAACAGAGATATAAAAGTTGTCTGAAATTTAATCGAATCAGCTGCGGAAATAATACAAACTGGAAAGATTTTCAAAGCATTTCCTTAGAAAGAATTGATTGAAGATTATAGTGTAAGCAGATTAAAAGGTATTTGTAACCTGGAAACAAGATTTTTTTATAAATAATGTGAATAAGATCTCAACGTTGTCACGTAGTCATCCTGTTTTTGTTATAGGCTTCAGAGTTTGAAGTAAACTACCTTTAACATATTCATGATGGGTGGCTCATAATGTTTTTCGATAAACTTATAGCTTTACGTGTTATTATGCTGTTTAACTTCATTAATCTCCAACCCTTATCGTAAAAAGACCACTAAGTTTTGTTACATTCTCATAAATGAGTGACATTATGTATCACATTTGCAAAGTAATTTTTCAATAGTTTGTTTGGTTTGAATTTTATTAATTTATTAATTTAATAATTTTATTATTTATTTAAGTGATACCTGTAAACGTAAAGCGGGGAAACATATTTTTTCTAGAATAATTCCAGTAGTTAGTACTCGTCAAATTCAACTCAGTTACTTTGTACTAAAAAGGATGATGTTTTATAACAAATAAAACTAATCATTTAAAACACGACAATAAATAGGAGGGACACATATTTATGGCGAGAAGTTACTGAGTATTTACACAATACGAATTCACAGCTTTCAATCGCACATTTGCATCTTTCGGTGTGTTCTGTAACCTGCACTGTCAACGCCGTGCTTTCAATGTATTGGAACGCTAAACACTACTTACAAACATCCTTGTCAGTAGCGCCCACTACAGTAACACTATTATTAGTTTGTTTCCCTACAATAACTTAAACCTTCTTAAAATAATGACAGGCAAACCTATTCTATTAATAAATGAGAGTTCATAAAGCAATAGGTTTACGGAACTGTGTTTACAGCTTATAGTTATCGTTATCACTAGGTGACGATCGTACCCTACTGTAAATAAGATGAAATCGAAATATGTAGATCTCTGAACTTCTAGATCTGAGGTTTCACTAAACAATTTTTAGCATACTGAGTGTGCACTACAGACGAATCGTATTTCCAAGTAAAGCATGCTTCCACTTCTTTCTTAACCATGATAAATAAGGCCAAGCTATAAATATTAAGGAGATAGATTGAAGTTTAACATAATATCATGAAGACCGATTCAGTTGATAATTAACGCAATCATGATAACATGCCTTGTTGTGATCACCTGTTTCCGAATAAATTTTACTCCTTTCTGTTTATCATGTATGATAATTATTTTACCTAAAGTGATTCATATACACCGTGTTCACTCGATTCATGAAACGATTGAATTTACCAGAAGTTTATCAGGAAATACACTTTTTTATACAAGATAGTATTTAGTTCAGCCAAATGTTCTTTTCCTGTCCTTTTGTGACCAACAATAACAAAGTCTTCATGAATTCAGTGAAAGACTAGAATATTTTCAAATGGATTCTTAAAGAATTCATTAAAAATGAGGGTTTTGTGGATATTGTAGTAATTTAATATTCTAATTCATGAGTCAATTAAAGCCAGACCACCATGGAAAACCTGAAAGCACTGAACGGTCGTTTTTTCCTAGTAAGGGACCCCTTAGCAGTGTATATCCACGACCCTGCTCAAGGAATTTCAACCCAGGGCCTTCGATCTCGTGCGCGAACGCTTAACCTCCAAACCACCGAGCCGGAATCCGACAGTATCGATGTCTAACGTCAACCAATCCACGAAATTACGCCACCATCCACCATCATTGAAGACAATGGTGGACGGTTAGAGTTATACATTAACACCGATGGATGGCAGCTCAGTGATCTAGAGGTTAAGCGTTCGCGCGAGAGACCGAGGGTTCTGGGTTCTTATTCCACGAGCGGGATTGTGGATATACACTGCTAAGGAGTCCCTTTCTAGGACAAAACGACCGTCCAGTGTTTCCAGGTTTTCCATGGTGGTCTGGCTTTAATTGACTCATGAATTCAACCATTAAATTTATTTAAATTCGCTTATTTGACGCAAGAGGAGTAACTGATTTATATAAAGCGAAAGTCTCATGAATATTCGACAAACTAGAATTATTTACTAAATGTAAGTATTTAAGAAAGTTCGCATGGAGAACATTTAATTGACTTTAGAAAAATTCATGTTAGTCAGTTAAATACTGATTTCTGTTTAAAATAATTCCTAACCAATAGCAAAACAATCCCCGAGAAATCACTTTACTTTATATTCTCCCGAAAATATCACTTATTACTTCTGTTTAATTAAAACATTGAACATCTATGACTGACTGGTTATTTTTGCATATAGAAATTTTCTAAGAGTTGTGATTAGTCTTGACCATTCTTCATAATACAATTTACAATATAGGCATAGTGAAATAAAGTAGCTGTTGATATAAACCTCCTTCAAAACCATTCATCTACAAAGTGATAAGGTCACTATATAGTAAGCAGTACTCAATTTAATAAAATCATAGTGTTTTGACTAAAAGCTATCTATCAATCCTATGGTGACACGTATCATTTGAACTTGGAAATTTTTGGAGGAAAGAATACTTAGTAAATACAGCTTCAAGTAATTGGTATGAATTGATAATTTAAAGTCTACCGATTATTGACCTTATTTTTGAGCCATAACTCCTTCAAAAATCTACCAAGCTGGTTTTGACTTAGCGAAGTTATGTTACTGATTTTTTTCTTATGAAACAGTATTTTAAGCACAAATCTAATTTTATCAAGCATTTAGGTTGATATTTTTTCCTCTACTATTATTTGTCTTTATTACCTGAACTCAGATAATCAGAATAAACTAGAAACATTTGTGAAACACTGGTTTGAGGAAATAAGCAAACTATTAGAACTACTAATAGAGTCTAATATAGCACAAATGAAGGCAATTAGAAAAATCTATATACTTGCCTATAGTATTTGTAATAGTAATAACTGTTGTGATTAATGTATGAACTACAAATTTGTTACAATTTACTGTTTAGTAAAAGAGAGAGATTTTAAAACCTGTTGATGATATCACATAGTTTGTTTGAGACCAGGTGAACCGTGCTCAACGAAACAAAACGTCTTAGATTTTCACAGTTACTACTGATTGTTGTCGTAATTTGTTTAACAGTAAAACGTTTGTTCGGTGTTGTGTTATAATAACTGATGTTTTCGTAGATTTCTTTTTGCAAATCAATTATGAAAAATAAAACAAATACAACTGAATGATATGAAACCGAGCAAGCTAGTCAAGTTGTACCGATTATCCATATATTTACTTTATGTAATCATTCTCTATGTTAACTTGTACATTGTTTAGTCCTTTGTGTTATTAAAAGAACTGATCATAAGGGCGAACACAAAATTGTCTAATTTAAAACTAGTAGGTGAATAATTTCGAGATTAAACTACGAAGACTGATTGGTGCATCTATTTATTCCGAACTTTGTGCTACAATTTCGACGACTGGTTTGTTTATTTCATGCTAAAAACCTGGATAATAGTAATGTGAAATGGACTGTACACTGACGAAGATAATTAGAGAATTTATTAAGATACCAGTTTTACAAACAATATGAGGGTAAATGTGTTCAGTTAGATTGGATGCTGTAAATCTGTATAGCGAGTTTGGTCTATTAAGCTTTTTCATATATATGGCCTATACTTTTATATGAAGATCATTATGTGAATGAACAATGAAACATCCCTGTCTTTAAATTTTGTTAGCTTTATAAAGTGATTTCAGTTCAGTAGTTAATCATTTTCATAAAAATGGGTGTTTTCTAGTTACTCCATACCATTCCTTATCAAATTTGCTTAATATCTGTTAGAGCATTACATTCATTGAATAAACAGTATACGTATGTTATTCAGGCTAATCAATACAAACAACTACCTAATGGTCATCAATCATTATTATAAATTTTGATACACTGTTCTATTGAAATTATAGAACTCAAAGGCAAATAAACTTATTCCTTACTACTGCTTATTCATTTTCCTTCCCAAAAAGTAACTTTTAGATGTTAGTTTTTTAACCTATTACCTAATTTTACTAATAAAATTAATTTAGTTACAACACTTTTAAGCGATATAAATTTATAATGAAATAATGTAAAGTAGTTTGTTTTGTTCGTACTATATGCAATGAAATTATGTTCTAGTTCAACGCACAACTTGCTGCAAAAAATATTGTTCAAATCGGTGAAATGGCATAATTTAACTGATCACATCAATCTGTTTTTTGATAGTTAAAAAATAATCTTGCAGTCAAAAATGCCTTATGCAAATCATCTTGGTATTAATCGGCAATAATTTGATTTATTGACGTTGTAATATAAATATGATTCTCTACTCATGCTTATTTTTCTAAGAACCATGAATAACCAAATAGCCATATTCACGACAAACTCTAGTATTCCTTCGTATTTTTCCTAGAAGAGTTGTGCTTATAATCTAATTACGCAGTTTTCTGTATCAATATTATTACATTTATTTTAATACTTAATTATTTGTTTGACTATATCAACAGAAAGGTTACGCAATTAATCATGCTGTATAGATCATGTTCTGTTGCCGGAACTGTGATATATTTCCAGTCTTTGCAGTTTTAAAATATTATCACTTTTTCTTATAAAAGGTAGACTATTCACCATAAATAAATATTCAAAATACTCCATAATCTAACAGTAATAAAAATTCTAGTCGTACAAACCTACTTATTATTGATTAAAGTATGTACTGGCTTCTTACTAATAAAACAGAACCAGTAATATTAGTTCTATCAAATCAAGCTATTAATTTGTATTTTTATTGTCGATACAGACTACAACAATTTGTTCTCATCTTTAGGACATTTTTGTGAAAATTAAACCCTATCATTGTTTTCACAGTTTTTTATCATTCACTTGTTTTCATTGTTTAATGCCGTCTATGTGGTCTGATGTAGTGTATAATGAATGTGAAATTCTAAATGATTTATCGATATTCCAATTCATAAATAAGTAAATAAATAAATGTATCAGTTCGTCTATTAGTAATAATAATTACTACTATTATCTTTATTGTACAATTGAACTGTTATGATTGTTGCATAATAATTCAAGTTCTCTACAAGAATGTTTTCTCAAAGTTTATCAGTCTTTTTACTTACAAAAAACAACTTTTTTTAATAATATTATTATTGCTCTAGGCATATTTTTGGAAATGAATAAATTTCATCAGTGCATTTTAGGTAAAATTGACCAATCAAGTGTTTCACTGTAGCTAAATTGTTTATAATTAATGTTTAAAGAAAGGTATATTACCATTATAGTTAGTATATTTCTGTGAATGACAACTATTACCAAATACTGTTGTATGCTTAATTTCACTAAGTCAACGTTTAACTAAGAAGCTAACAACAGCATTGAAAAATTACATTAATTCCAGTCCCATATTAAAAATAATGTAACATTACTGGTTGTTTGTTCATATTGGTAAAGATAGTGTTTTTTTATAACTATATGAAAGAAGAACGAAATTTTTAACAAATTCTCTCTTGATATGTATAGTAAATATCATGTAGACTTGCATTAGTACTCCATATCCCTGAATGCGGTAGTTATTTTTCAGGTTTTCAATTGAAAAGAATAATAGTTCTTTTTAAAGGATAGATATAGTGTGGGTGAAAAATAATGATCGGTCATAAACAGAGAATTTCGGTAACTTGAACAATGCTGACCATACGTTCATATGAAATTAAGTACAGAAATTTGAAAGCATACTTTTATTCTTGCTTTCTAAAACCAATTAAAGACAAACAAATGGCTATTTGAATGTCTTGTGAATACATGTAAACTATAGGGAGCGAAATTTTAATCATGTGAAAGTGAATACTCGAAAGTGATAATTCTCGCGTTAACTTACCGGTTAAATCGCCAGCTAGCGTATAACAAGCGCCATTCGGTAGAATGCTCTTTGTAAAATTCAGTACGGAACAATGTCTTTGACCAACTTTACAGCTAATTGAAACGATAATATACATTAACTTTATAGATGCTTATTTATGATTTATTTATGTAACAACTTTTAATAATAGAAAAACGTATATGAACAGTATCCAAGTGACTAAATACTTTATACAAGATTATTCTAAGACTGTTGAAAAAAGAGCTTACCAAGATTTAAGTTTCTTTTAAATAACCTTTAATTCAATAATAATTATTTTATTTTGGCTGAAATCATGAATCCATCAATGTTAGACCACCACTGAAAGCCTGGAAGCACTAGACGACAATGGAAGATGGCTACGCAATATCGTGGATTAGTTTGAGTTAGACATTAACACAGATGGATCCCGACTCAGTGTTCTAGAGATTAGGCATCTTCGTGCGCGACCGAGGGCTCTAAGTTCGATCCCCGCCGGTGGGATCGTGAATATGCACTACTGAGCAGCCCCTTACTAGAACGAAACGGCCTTCCAATGCTTCCAGGTTCTCAATGTTGGTCTAACATCAATCAACTTATGATCCCGACCAAAACTTAACAATCTCCAAAACTATATTGTTAGTTCTCTTGTTTGTTAAAAAATTTGAAACAACTAGTCATTTTGACAACTTTCGATAATGCAATGAGAAGACGAAGGTTATCAGGATTATGTAGTTTATCTACGCAATACATTCCGAACAATCTGATCACATATAGACTTGTTAGGACATTTTTATATGAAAAATAAAAGGTCAACCAGACAAACTAAATGCTAAGTGGAAACAAAGAATAATAATGTACATAAAAACAATGAGAAAACCATGCTGGATAATAAATCAGTATTATCAGGGTAGGTTAAGAGTAAGAACAAATCGCTCCCCCCTATGTACGCACATATATGTAAATTTATAGACACAATCGCTTACGTTCTGTTTGGGTTTTTGGTGAAACATAGACCTTGCTTTTTGAATAATGACGAGTTGGGTTGCATAAAATGTCCTATCGATGGCTAATTTAAATCTCCATTTCAACACGAGGCTATCTGATTCGAATATATTACACAACTCTGATAACCTTCGTCTCCTCATTACATTATCGCAACTTAAAATTCTGACTTGAAGTAATTAAAACCGATCTATATGCACTTAAGACTGAAAAACTTAATCCGACCCAAAATTTCAGTATGTTAACAAATAAATAAATAATTGCGAGCACTTTACCAGAACATAATGATACTCAGCATTGAATTTTTCATTTTTTTAATAATAGTAAAGCCTGAGAATTTCCGATTCATAGAGATTCTAAGTATTTGTTGTTAAATATGACCGCAGGAATAAAAGATAGACACAGAACTGCATGCATGAAAGTTCGAAACTCTAGACAACTTAAAATATGTAAATAAGAAAGCCTTTTTAGTGTTATTTGATATATACAATGCAAAATGTCTTATAAAATATTTGTTTAGCTTTTGTAGTTAAGACTGTCTCGACAGATATCGCTAAACCAGCATATATACCTCAGTTTAACGTGAATAATAATAATGATTATATATATGGCCGAATTAAAAAAATTACCAACACATACCATATCATCTCAAAAAACCATTAATGCGACATGCACAAACACTTCATAATCGATTTGGCGAGTGAACAAAATACTAATAACCATATTGTTTACCCTATATCATTTCTATGACTTCCTGCAAAACAAAATTTCCCATGTATCCGAATAATATGAAGACACAATCATCCTTTAAACATTTATGTTTTATTTTAATATGGTACTTTTTGGTAGTACTGGTTGTGTTCAAAGTTTTTCCCTATAACTCAAAAATGCTAATAACCTAATAAGTACGACTATTAGCATTACAAAAAGGTAAATGCTTCACAGTCAATGATTAAAGTTCGTTAAATAGCAGACAAAGTGCTCCACATTCTTCCTTTCCTATATGCTTTCAACGGAGATAAAATTTTACAATACTAAATTTTTGATGCCCAAAATTAGATCATTTGATTCAGAGGACAAGTGTAACGTGTGATCATTTTAGGAATCAAATAAATGTTCCTGTAGAATAGAAGGAATTGTTGTAATAGGATTTCAAAACCATTACTGAATACGTATATGGATATATATATGTGTATGTCCACTTGCTGTGCAGTAGAATTCAATTGTCTTAAGTCATAGAAATTGTTCAAATCCTTCAGGAAAGTAATTTTATAAAACAAGTGAGAAATACACGAACAAAATTTAATTGGTCTTGACAATAACCAAGTCAAATTTCCTTCTTTAAACGATGTAGGCCATGTCATTATAATGAATAAATTTTCATTTCATTCCCTTCAAATCAAGTCTAATATTTAACTCACTTTATTACCCATTATTGTTACCTTGACCATATTTTTTTAAATAGTCAAAATATATTTTGATTTCCGAACATATATTAAAGCAAGTCAAAAAGCAAAGCTAACGCAAATTTAAAGATTTACTAAACCACCTAAGTGTCATTATAATGGTTCATGGGTATATTCAATTATGCGATCAAAGCCCTTCAAAAATAAAATAATAAATAAAGCCCTTCTAAAACAGTGACGACCAGTGATATTTACTTTTTTAGCGCTGTCTGTAGCTTTTTTCTCGTTACATTTGTTGTTCTTGGCTTCATTAACTTGTATTTTTACTATGATGCTATAGATCTTTAATGTTTACGATGTGATGACTTTGGATGTGTTAATACACCCTTGTTAAATAATTTCAACGTGTCTCAAAAAGGTCACAAAATATAATTATTGGTACTTTGTACGATGAAGAGTCATCTAAATTAGCTGGAAAAGTTTGCTTTTATCCACTGGAAGGACTGTCTATTTATAATTAGTCTCGCTTCGCTTTGGAAAATATCACCAATATATTTCCACCAGAACAATAATTCGACTGAACTAAAAAACCACTACAGTTGAGTTTGTTTAACCACTCATCAAAAACGTTCTGACATAATCATCTACCACAAAAGGTTTATAATAAATAAAACTCTTTAAGATCCAGTGTATATCACATGAAATAATTTCGAAGAATTATAATGCCGAAATTTGTGTTCCATAGTACATATTATACATATTATACATACGATATCGTCAATAATTATAGTATATTTGGGAACGAGAAAGTTGATTACAGTAGTGGACACTTATCTATTGGCTATCGTTTATGCTTCGACATACTTTACCTTCTTAACATTTGATCTATCTGATGAGATGCTTTCTCCATGAGCTTGAAAATTGGCACTTTAAGTTTGCTTTCCGGGAGGTTTTCACTTGAACGTCCTTGAAAAGCATCCGAGAAAATTTCATAATCAACACCACGATCCTGAGACTCAGCTGACTGAATATTGTACAGTTTAGTTCCCCTTAATTAAAAAGATGTAATTTAATGTTAGAAAGAACCATTAGAACATTTTTTACAGAACCCAGTTTATACATTAGGTTTATGAAAAAGTTATCATTTGGAGGCGAGTAAATTCTATAATGCTGAAAATTTCATAAAATACTTGATAAACAACCAAGCCGCCATATTTGTTGTTTTAAATCAGTCCTGCATTTAGATCATCAGCGTACATTAGTTATAAATCCTATTTTAGGATACATAAATTTTACGTGCTTGAGAACTGACTGTTGCATACTTACGGAACCAGTCATCACCAGTTCATTTATAAAAGTTATCGAAACATTTGCGATGCATCGTGTTATTGGAAAGCACACGAAAGATTAATGTGTAGATCTGGTACACAGATGTAGTCCTCATTTTCTTTTGTACAGAGCATAAAGATTAGAAGTTTGATCAACTTTGAATGGCTTTTCTGGCAATATTAAAAATAATTTATTCTTTCACAAACATAAAGCAACATATTCACTAAAAATACAGTTCTAACAACGATCAATGTATCAATGGTAACTCATTACTTTATATCATTCAAAAAACCCAAAGAACTACATTTTTAACCTTTTAATAAGTGGTCATGCTTTCAACCATATCAGTCAGTCAGCAACAACGTAGAACTTCATACATACGTACATCAGTTCAAGTTGCCATACCACATTAGCACAGAAACACAATTTTCAATTCAAATCTTGTAGTGGTAACAGTATAAGCAGTAATTGGAAAGATTAGGGATTGAGTTTGTTATTCAGGGAGCATAATCTCGTGAAATAAATTTGGAAAGAGGAAAAAAGGAACATGAAAAGTTCAGAAAATTAGAATTTCCAGGAACACAAAGAGTGTGGTGCGTGCTACTTATATCGACATAAGTAGTATATAACGCGAGTCAGGAATGTAATATCTGGAAGCAGAAGATTTGGAAGATCAGGAAAGGAAGAACGGGGATAGAAATCCAAGAGCAATAAAGTCCGAGACAATTATTGAACATTTTGCGAATTAGATATTATAATACTGTTTTTTCTATTTTACCAATTAACTCCGTAATGTTGTGCAAAATATGATTCGGTTGTCCTCAACTGTGTTCTCCTTCACTACAAGAGTGGATGCATCTGAGCCATAACAAACGATTTTGAGCCATGTCATTCAAGGTTTCTAACCATCGGTTTCTGTCATCTCGCGGATCCCAACCAGGTAGTCTAAACCTAGCAACGTGGCTCAGTCCACTTGTCAGTGACTTCATAAATTTGTGCCATGTTTTGGACTGGCCGCACTTTGTTTTCTTCTGACCTGATCCTACATCATAAAACATTGCACGTCGTGGTAGTCAGTGGTTGGGCATACGTAACACATGTCCCAGCCATTTCAACTGATGAAGTTTCACTACTTCATCAATTGATTTGCCATCCTTACCTAGTACCAGTTTCCTAACAACTGTGTTACTTACTCAGTGGTCCCAGGATATACGAGCAATGTTTCGAAGACACCTATGATCAAATACTAGTAACCTACGGATATCCTCTACTCTTACTGGCCATGTTTCACTGCCATAATGCAGGACGGAACGAACTGCTGCGCAGTAAATCGGTCCTTTGGTTGATAGATGGATATCTTGCCCACGCCATAAGTGACGCAAGTTGGCAAAAGCTAGTCGAGCCTTCTGTATCCGTACTGAGATTTCGTCACAAACCAGACCACAAGGGCTGATGAGACTTCCAAGATAAGTGAAGCGGTCGACACACTCAACTACTTCACTCCTTATCATTAATTCAGGTATCGATGCAGCCCAATCCTGAAGTAGCATTTTGCATTTCGAGGGGAAGAATCGCATCACGAACATGTTTGCATCATTACTTATGATGGTCAGAAGACTCTACAATTTGTCAGCGTCTTCACCAAAAAAACTATATCATCGGTTTATTCTAAGTCAACAATTGAATCTCCCGGTAAGTGTTCAACACCTAGAAATTTAGATGAGGAAAATGTAACCTCTAAAAGCACTTCAACGACAAAGTTAAACAAGAATGGAGAGAGTGGACTACCTTGACGAACACCACTGGAGGTAGTCAATTGTGATGATAGTTCGTCATAAGCTCTCACTCGACCAGCTGAGTTTAAGTAGAGAGCGTGTATAAGGTTTGTGCACTTCTGAGGTACTCCTTACAGTGACAAACACTGCCATAGAACCTCACGATCATTCATATAGTTCCACGTTTAAGCTTTGCGGATAATTTCAGTCATTTGTTTTCAGCGTTTAATAACTAAAAAATTGGGTCTTATAAGAACTGTTTTGCCTCGCTGTCAAAATTGCTGCAAAGCTTTACATATCACGACTGATCTATGAATACTTCTAGCACTCGGCTATCAAAAAGATTAATTTTGTCTATTATACTCACTGTATTCTTGCTTCTTATGTGATATTAGAGTGTTTCTTTATAAACTTAAGGGAAGTCTATTATTTTCTGGCAGTTTTTGAGAACATTTAAAAATTACTTAGTATCAGGTATTATTTAAGTGTGAAGCAACTTCTGTGTAGGGTTTATTCAGATCGCTCATTTAAATCTCAAATTATTTTATGGCATTTACAGAAACAAATCCACTTACCTTGCTGGATTAATATTACAGATACTGATCAAAGGAAATGGCAAATTACTTTGATGATCCTCATAAGCTGAAATAATCATTTTTGATGCCAAACTGTCGTAATGCTTCAACCAAACATGTACTCGATAAGTGATCAAGCAAGCTACTGATATGCACAGCAAAAGACAGATTAGTCTAATTGAAAAAAAAATATATCCTTTACTATTAAGCGCAACATCGTAGCACTTGTCTCGAACAATTTTATAGTGCCCACACAGAATTTGGAGTTAACGAAATACAAATAAAAAGCGCATAAGCCATTTTTTCAAGTGTCATTTACATTAAATTCCTATGAGCACATTGCTTTAGCAATGTTATTAATAAAATCTAAACTGTAATGACTATTGTTTCAGGTATCAATTTTGTACGGAGATATCCTGAATGTTTGTAGCCCATAAACAACTTTTGTTCGTGCGAAACGAAGTCCATTGAACAAACACAACGTGAAGACCTTCTAGTTATTAACATCACTACCTTTAGCTGAACAGTAATAAGCATTACTGTCTGGTACTTTGTTATAGCTGCGTATAGCCAGCGATTCGCATACATTACATTGACATTAACAAGCAGTTTGTAAACAGGCAATAAATTAATTTATCATGCATTTTTATGACGTTTTCAACGAACTCTATGTGTTTTATTCCCAATGTACCACCACTTTTATATATCGCCGATGACTTTTTACCATCCATTTCAAAAGTAATAGCTTTTAACATTTCGAATTCAATTTTTTCCTACAAAAGAGTTTGCAGATCACTCACACAAACTAATAATAAATAAAATAATCAGTTAATAAGCAAAGTCCTTCTTTGACTGCCTATTCGCCCTGATAAAAAGGTTTAAAAAGTAAACAAACTACCCTATATAATCGTATAACCAATATATCGTCTTAAGTAACTAAAATACCATGTATTACACTTTATTTTATGGCACGTTTACCATTATCGATTGTGTGTGTTGTTGTATAAGAGACAACGATAATTATTATGGCAACAAATTTTAAGACACATATTTGCAGAATTGATGCAAACATTGAAACATTCAATATAAATCACCCATCATATAAAAATACGTTTCTACATAAAAACTAAAAATTTATATTCTGGAATGCAGAATAAGCAATGCTTAAAAATGAGTCAACGGCACTTTAAATTTGCCATAAATAGTCATTGTAATGATTACTATTCGGTTACAAATAAGATTTTTTGAGGTATAAATAGAAGAATAAGCTGAAAAAGCCATCGGAGATAACCCTTAATAATTACTTCTTGGCTCCAACTGATGTCCACTTAGGGCAGCAGTGAATATTCATCATATATATTAAAACACGCGCAAATATAAGTGAAAGTACATATGCAACAGTTGTATTAAACAATCAATACTGAACCAGGCAAACTAAACACTAAGCAAGATAAATTATTTAAAAATACAACTTCAACATTTGATCACTTGGTCAATTAAATGCTGAATGCATTTGGCCGCTGTTATTGAGTTGATATTTTACTAAGTTTTGAGAACTTCATCTGGGAAATATTAAGTGTTTTAGACATGGATCCTCTGGAAAACCGAAGTTGAACAATATAATATGCTATTTATGACTGTATACAGAGTACCTAGCCTAATTTCTGTTCACACAAATATGCTCTTTTTGAAAGACACCTAGGTAATAATCAAAAGTCGAATTTCGATCCTTGTAAAAGACCTCATATGTTTTTGTGAACTGTCGTGAATGGCGTCCTCTCAGCAGTTTAATTTGGGGACACGGAAGTTATCTGTTTTGAACGAACATAATTCTAAGAACTCTATAGTGTGCAGTCTCATTTCACTTGAACAAGCTGAGATCAGGTCTATTTTTGATTGTTGATCTGTAAAATCTTCTGAATATAGATTTCTCTCACTACATTGGAAAATCAAGCGGACTTTTAGTTGGCTCAATGTACCAGCACTCCCAACAACCTGGCCACTGAACACATTATAAGAATCCATAACTGAAGTAGAGTTGTCAGTTTCTATGTACATGATTTGCATGTAGCCAGCTAGCTATTTGCATTGCAAAAACGAAAATTTAGAAAGGCATATAAAGGATTTTGGTTTAGTAGTTGAAACAATACTTTACTTTTTCAATGCTAAAAGTGGACCTTTGAATTCCCACTTCGATTTTTTCTAAATGAACATGTCATTCAGTGCCGCGCTATGTTTCGAGAGAATTCAACCACTATTTTTCGTGCTTTAAGATAAACATGTGTTGTCCGGTTGTTACAAGCATACTTAAGGCTAGGTTTTAGCGATGTTCCGAAGGTGTGTCGCTTTATTCAGGAGATTTGCATTTTAGGAACCTTTTGTTAGTGATTTTTAGAACAGAAACTGTTTGAATTTTGATGCATAACAAAAAAAGGTATAGTCCGTTTGAATCAGCACATACCTATTTGAATAAATAGTCGTGGGCGATGGCGTTTTAACCATCTTCTGTTAACTGAGTAACGACTTTTAGAATTCCACACCCTCGTTTTTGATTAGGATAATACAATACTTTAAAAAAAACGACACAAACAGTCCAGGCTATGTTCACAAATTTCGATGAACTTCACTAACTGACTTTAAATGGACGTCCGTGCCTTTTTGGCATATAGTTGGTTATATGAGACTTTGCTACCTACAAGATGGGCCACCATCTAAATCTTCCAAACTTTAGACTGGATAGATTAAATTCGTGAGGGGATAATAAATAGATAATAATTAAATCCTATCCACAGTTTGGGAAAAACCTGACATAACTAATGGAATAATATCTTTTTTCTCATCACTGTATTGCAATATTTAACACTCCCAAGGATTCCAGGTACACCATCGTCTTGTTACTAAACAACCACACTAATAACTCTGACGACGATTGTCATAACAATGTGGAACCACTGTACGGAATATCTATCTGTATCGATCAACTCCTTCCTTTCTCAACACTTCAACTGCAACATACGCAAATCCACTTTCTTGAAAACACAGGGCTTGAGGACAGGTGACTGGATCCACGGAAGTTCGCCCGCTAGGATGGTCAAAGGTAACGTCAAAAGTTCATGTATTTCAGAGTCCGTTCTTTTGTAGCATATATTCAGTCATGCTATTTATTTTTTTAATTTCGAAACTTTCATCTCATACTCTCTACTTAAACTATCATTCTACTCGTTAGTCTACTGAAAAACACACTTCATCGGCGTTGTTATCAGTACTTACATTATAATTACAAACACAACTACCAGAGGTAGAGGTCTAAGTTTGAAACCTGATAATAAGTCAAGATACCTGTTTCCGGCAACAGGACTATAAGAAAGCTTGAAGAGAAGCAGGATAAATTGTCTCAGTGTAGTGCGCACGACATATTCTTACTTACTTACTTACTTACTTACGCCTGTCACTCCTCGTGAAGGAGCATAGGCCGCTCACCAGCATTCTCCATCCAACCCTGTCCTAAGCAATCCTTTCGAGCTCCTTCCAGTTCCTATTCATCCTTTTCATATCTGCTTCTATTATCCGACGTAATATGTTCTTAGGCCTTCCTCTTTTCCGGTTCCCTTCAGGATTCCAAGTTAGGGCTTGTCTCGTGATGCAGTTTGACGATTTGCGTAATGTATGTCCCACCCATTTCCATCGTCTTTTCCTGATTTCCTCTTCAGCTGGACGCTGGTTTGTCCTCTCACACAGAAAGTTGATGCTGATGGGATCCGGCCAACGGATGTGGAGTATCTTGCGTAGACAACTGTTTGTAAATACTTGTATCTTCTTGATGATGGTTGTTGTAGTTCTCCAAGTTTCAGCTCCGTACAGTAGAACTGCACTGACGTTGGTATTGAAGATTGGCTTTGATATTGGTTGAAAGTTGTTTTGAGTTCCATATGTTCTCCAATTGTAGGAATGTGGCCCTTGCTTTGTCAATCCTCGTCTTTACGTCTGCATCTGAACCTCCTTGTTCATCGATGATGCTTACCAGGTATGTGAACGATCCTACATCTTCCAGAGTTTCTCCATCAAGAGTGATTGAATTGCTGTTCTCCGCTTTGAATTTTAGGACCTTGGTTTTCCCCTTGTGTATGCTGAGGCCTACTGATGCAGAGACTGCTGCTACACTGGCTGTATTTATCTGCATTTGTTGGTGTGTATGAGATAGGAGGGCTAAGTCATCTGCGAAGTCCGAATCGTCTAATTGATTCCGAGCTGTCCATTGTATTCCGTTCATTCCCACAGATTTGGAGGTCTTCGTAATCCAGTCAACCACCAGAAGAAAGAGGAAGGGAGAGAGTAAACAGCCTTGTCTGACTCCGGTCCTTACTTGGAATGCATCTGTCAGCTGTCCTTTATGCAATACTTTGCACTGTAGTCCGTCGTATGAGTTCCGGATAGTGTTGACAATCTTCTCAGGAACTCCAGTGTCGAGGGAGTTTCCGTAACGTCTTCCTATCTACACTGTCAAATGTCTTTTCATAATCAATGAAGTTGATGCACAGTGATGAGTTTAACTCAACTGATGGTTCGACGATCACCCGTAGTGTCGCAATTTGGTCTGTGTACGACCGGTCCTTACGGAATCCAGCTTGTTCATCTCGAAGTTGGGCGTCTACTGCATCTTTCATCCGGTTCAGCAACACTGTTAAAGACTTTCCCTGGTATTGACAGTAGTGTAATGCCTCTGTAGTCTTACCATCTGCTCAGATTTCCTTTCTTTGGAATCTTAATGAGGTGTCCTTCTTTCCAGTCCATCGGCACTTGTTCCTCCTCCCAAATCTTTTTGAATAGAAGGTGAAGCATGTTTGTAGTTACTTCGATGTCTGACTTCAGTGCTTCAGCTGATATGTTGTCCGGTCCCGCTGCTTTCCCGTTCTTCATTTGTCTGACGGCCATTCTGATTTCTTCCTTCGTTAGTGGGTTGACATTTATGGGAAGATCTGTGTGTGCTGCTTCGATGTCCGGCGGATTCATTGGAGCCGGCTTATTCAGGAGTTCCTCGAAGTATTCTACCCATCTGTTCCGCTGCTATTGAATTTCAGTGAGTGGCTTGCTCTCTTTGCTTTTGACCGGTCTCTCTGGTTTACTGTATTTCCCTGATAGTTTCTTCGTTGTATCGTAAAGTTGTTTCATATTTCCTTCACTTGAAGCTTTTTCCGCCGTCGTTGCTAGTTCTTCCACCTATTTCTTCTTGTCGGCTCTAATGCTTTTCTTCACTTGCTTGTTTGCTTCTGTGTATTCAGTTTGTGCTTCGACTTTCTCTTCTCGCGTTCGGCTGTTGTTAATTGCTGCCTTCTTGTTCTTCCTTTCTTTGATCTTGACCAAAGTTTCTGAACTTGCAAGATGTCGCATGAGACTATTTTGTAAATAAGCCTTCTTTTTGTGAAGAACACCACGTATTTTAATTTTTGAAAATAAAGATCTGTGGCCGTTACTCCAAGTTCTCTCTTGGTGTGAGGTTGTATTCAAATCAGCTGTGTCGACAGATGGCACTCGGGGGTGTTCTCTTATTGGTCGAGGCAGCAGCACTTCGACAAACGTGAGCATACCAATTCTTCTCGCTCCATGATATCTAGACTAGGAAACGCCTGAACTGCTATTTGTTGCGAAAGGTGGAGATAGTCAATGGGATCTTCACTCGCTTTCTGGTAACGTGATAGAAATTGGATGGTCACCTGCTGATCACACGCGCTAGAACTGATGATGGAGGTGTCTATGGCAAAACGTGTCGAAATCTATGATGAACCGCTGGTAATTCCGGACAGGGTAGCACCCGTTACGACCCCCCACCAACCGCCACTACTTGAAACCCAACCAGAATATTCTATATGGAAAGCGAGAGTAACAGAATGTCTACGTAAGTTCTCGACGTCAGAGCACTTCAATAATTTCTCATATTACCTAGACGATGAGACGGCTAAAGGACCTCCAATTCTGAGGGCAAACACCAAATGCATTGGACAGGTTGGATGCAACTAGAAGATTTGAACTTCACAGATGACCTGGCCCTTCTATCCAATACACAGTAACAAATGCAGGTCAAGACAACCAATGTGTCACAAACCTCTGCATCAGTAAGCTCCAACATACAAACGAGAAAGAACATGATCCTCAAACACAACACGAACGCCAACCTTATCACAGTTTCACGTACCTTGACAGCACAATCGATGAACGAGGAGGATTTGCAAAGCAAAGACAGCATTCCTACAGTTGGAGAACATGTGGAACTCAAGACAACCTTCAGGCAACATCAAATTCAGAATACTAAATACTAGTTTCAAAACAGTTCTACTGTATGGAGCTGAAACTTGAAGAATTGTAACAACCATCAACCAAAACATAC